TGTACAAGTCCCATGATGTCTGGTGGGATTTTATCTTTTATCTTACCAGCTGCACTGGCTCCTGGTGGAGTACAAGGTCAGATTTAAGGTGCTGGTTCTGACCTTTAAAGCCCTATGCGGCCTCGGACCCTCGTACCTACGGGACCACCTCTCCTGGTATGCCCCGTGGAGGACCTTATGGTCCATAAATAACAACATTTTGGAGGTCTTGGGCCTCAAGGACGTTAGATTGGCCTCGACCAGGGCCAAGGCCTTTTCAGCACTGGCCCCGAACAGGTGAAACGCTCTGTCACGGGAGACCAGGGCCCTGCAGGATTTGACATCTTTCCGCAGGGCCTGCAAGACGGAGTTGTTCCACCTGGCCTTTGGTCTGGACTCAGTCTGATCCTCCTCTTTCTTTTTTTGATGGAACCCCTTATATGGGAACTTGTATATACTAAATTCTCCCTCGGGCCTTTTGCTGCCCATATAGGACCAGCATGGATAGCTGAACTTGGTGAATATTTGATGTTTCATTCCCTTATGGTCTTGATTTGTGAGTCGCCAGTAAAATAAGGCTGCATTTTAAGCTGTATTTTAAGCTATATTTTAATCAATTGTTTTTTTGCTTTTTTAAAACTGTATTTTATATTCGGTGTTAGCCACTCTGAGCCCGTTCTTGGCCGGGGAGGGAGGGGTATAAATAAAAATCTCCTCCTCCTCCTCCTCCTCCTTCTTCGTCTTCTTCTTCTTCGTCTTTGCAGCAAATAAAGACACACAGAACTCCCTCTCTGCAGTGCAATCTGAAATTTGGGGTTCCTGAACGTCCTAAGAGCTTGGCCAACCTAATATTAAGTAAATAAGGTAAGCCAAAGGTTCTCTCCATATGTACCATCCCCTAGTCTCTGCTTCTCAATTTGTATTGTATTATTTTATGTCCTGTGGCTTGCCATTGTTTTACTGATTACAGTTTAGAAATTATTTATTGTATCTGTTGAGTGTGAAGGAGGTGAGGACAGGTGACCCCACCTAGGCCCGAAGTCACCCCAGGCCTCAAGACCAAATTTCCCCTTTCTCTCTTCTAAAAATCCACAGCTTCAGCTTTTCTCTGCTTTCTCACAAGATGCTGCTGCAGAGGCAAAACGTTATTTTTATCAGTACGAGAAGGCTTCAAAAAGCTAATGAATAGACTCTATCAAGGCCAAGAATAAGCAGGCCTGGGAACTGAGTTTTATCTCATCCAGGTGCAACAAATGTTGGACATGCTGAAACGCAAAGGCTCCTCAACCCCCTTGGCTTCTCATCCCCCTTTCCTGGGAAGGGTGCCAAGAGTCGCAAGACAGGAGCTTTCTGTTCATGCTCAGGGAAACTCTGGAGGAGGGGGAGAAGGGGGAGGGAACTGGAGGGGAATATATGCTCTGTGCAAATGGCTGTGAACTCGTGCTTGTTTGTGAAGTTATCACACTAGCTCCTTCTACCAAGCCCGGATGGTAGAAATAAAGCTTTTTCTCTGAAATTATCCCTTGAGTGTCTGTTTGACTCCCATTTCCCTCTCCCCGGGTGCAGTGCTCTTCCCACCCGAGGGCAAAGCCTGAAAAGTGGACTTCTGTTTAAACTTGTATATATTTATATTATTATTTTATACTATACAAATAATTGTTGAATGTTACTTTTTGATGTCGGTTGCTTATTTTAAAGTTTTATTATCTCATTTTTGTATTGCATTAGATTGTTATAAAATGTACATTTTTTGTTTCTTCAGCTTGTAAACCGCCTTGAGTGTTGTAAGGTAGAAAGACGGTATACAAATTAAAAATGATGATGATGAACCTCGTGGGACTTTGAGCTGCTTCCAGATCCAGCCGAGACTCAGGCAGACTCAGTGGCTGGAAGCGCCTTTGAGCAACTGCAGATGGTTCCACATTCCAGGACCGGGAGAGCCTGGCCTCACGCCTTTGCTTCTTCAAGGCTGGATGACCACAGTGCCCTCCATGTGGGGCATCCCTTGCGCTTGGTCCAGAAGCTTCAGCCGGTGCAGATTGCTGCAGCACGATTGCTGTCAAAGCGAGGCCTTCTCGGCATATGACCCTTTGGCTCAGAGGGCATCACTGGTTGCCCACTGGCTACCAGACCCAGTTCAAGGCCTTTCCATTATCATAGGGACCAGTTTGGGACCAGTTTACCCATGAGATCCCCTCCTTACCCCACAGGCAGACACTCGACCGCTTCAACTACAGGTGCCACGCAAGACCTCAATTGTTTAGTATGGCAGCACAGACCCTTTGGAACTCCCTGCCTTTTGAGATCAAGCAGGCATCTCCCTCCCACCTTTTTGGGGAACCTGCTAAAAACATGCCTGTGCAGGTGCTTAGAAAGTTGAGGTGAATATTAGCATTTTAACTTAGCTTAATTGTAGTTACTGAAAACCAGACTTTCTCAATTTATTCAGATATACATAGGAGATTGGCTTCTTTCTCCTCAATATTTAGCTATCACAAACTCAGCAACGGTAACAAAGTTGAATGCTGCAAAGTGGACCTTGAAGCCTCCTGCCTGATGTCAAGTGGCAGGGAGTTCCAAAGTATACTTGCTGCCACACCAAAAGATCAATCTTTAAAGTTGGAGGTTCCTACAGGGCAGGGCTGGCAGGTTGCACAGTCAGTGGCCCAGTATTAGTGCTTTCTAAACAACAGCATATCATTTCCTCTTCCAGAAATGCTGAATTCTGAATTCAAGGGACACAGAAGTCTTTACAGACAGAGATGACAAGACAGCTTTCCAGATTAGTTAGCTGGGAGTGAGACAGTTGGCAGAGTGGCATTGGGCTCGCTAAGATGCCAGCTACTACAGGAAATGCTTTATTGAGCCTTTTTAGCACTGCAATACCATTTTCAATTTTTTTTGGAAGATTCATTTTTAAGTCATGGCTGTGTGTGAGCAAATACTCCACATCTGCCAAGCTTTCAGGAGCAGGACTAAGGGGTGAAATGAAGCCCCCCAGATCCCCAAAGGTTGAGGGAAAGGCTCTATCTCCCTTTTTCCTTTTCATTATCAGTTATTTCCACCTAAGAAATGGGAAGAAAGCAGCTGCTCATGCTAAGCGCAGCGTTTGTTGGGCTGGAGATTAATGAGCTGATAATGGTATGATTCATCAGTAAGAAATAAGGTTTGTTCTTATCTGTAAGTGAAGACACATTTGAAACAATACAGAAGCAGTCAAAGGGAATTTCCTAGGAAGTCTTCAGTCTCACCTGCAATCATGTGTCCTGAACACACAGAAACACATAGATAATATGAAATAACTGGCAGCAACAGACTCCAAATAACACGCAACACATGCAAGCAGATTAACGGAAGAGGACACCTGATTTCCCCACCATTTTTAAAAACATTGTTTTTATTTATCTTCATGGTACAGAAGATAACTTTTCAGAAAGCAATAGTTATAACAGTAAACAACAAATAACATGTCCTGATGAAATTGCAGACTTTCATCTTGACATGTGTTAATATTTCATTTGATTATTTTAAGAGATCATGCCATATTTTCTCACGAGTGCTGGGTGGATTCCTGCAACAGTCTTGACAATATATGTATTCGATAAACATTTGCCACGTGTTATAAAAGGAATATGGCATGTGTAGCCCAAGCTTCTTGATTTCCCCTGGCAAACAAAATTTAAAATACTTAAATTGTGGTGCCCAGAAATGAACACAATATTCTAGGTGGGGTCTGACCAAGGCAGAAGAAAGTGGTACTATTCCTGCCCTTGATCTGATTCTGCCTTCTGCCACATTGGCCTCCGCTCCCTGTTTGGTGTCGTCTGCAAATGTGATGAGCATCCCCTCAGTTCCTTCATCCAAGACATTTATAAAGACGTTGAACAACAACGGGCCCAGGACAGAACCCTGCAACACCCCTCTTGTCACTTTTCCCCAGGATGATGAGGAACCATGAAGGAGTCCTCTTCGGGTTCGGTCAGTCCAATCCACCTAACAGTTACCTTGTTCAGCCTCATTTTACCAGCTTCCTCACATAAATATCACGGGGGACTTTGTCAAAAGCCTTACTGAAATCAAGATGAACTATTACCACAGCAATCCCCTGAGAAACAGTCTGTAACTCCATCCAATAAAAGAAAAAGAAAAAAGAGAGATTTCTCTGGTTTGACTCATTTTTGACAAAGCCGTGTTTTCAACCTATCTGTTTATGTTGTGAAACACCGTGAAATCTTCAGATGACGGGTACATGAATTTTAAAATGATAATAATAAGGATATTGACAAGCTGGAACATGAAGGCGATCAAGATGGTGTTATTTTATTTATGCATTTATTTCATTTCTATAGCACCCTATAGCAGGGCTGCCAACTTGAATAAAATATAGGAGGGGTTTAGTAAGCCCCGCCTCGGTTAAACAGTCACAGGATGCGGTGCATGCATGCCATTTGAATGGCTATTCCTATGAACTGGGGGGTGGCCCCCTCACATATCTTATTGGGGGGCAAAGACCCCTCAGACTCTAAGAGTTGGCTCTTATTCTCTTTACCCACAGGTCTCAGGACGGTTACAACATAAAATCACACAATGAAAACACAAAACACCGCCCCCAAATCCTGTAACCCCCACCTCCCCACCACATTTTAAAAGGGCATTAGATGTCAATCAGCCAAAGGCCTGTTTAAAGTGGTGTGTTTTTCTCTAGCACTGAAAGCTGTATAATGAAGGGTTTTCCACTCTTCGTATGAATTCTTTGATGGGAACTGAGAGAGGAGCTTTTCCTGAAGCTCTTTCCACATTCAAAGCACTGATAGGGTTTCTCTCCTGTATGAATTCTGTGATGGGAACTGAGACTGGCGCTCTGATTGAAGCTTTTTCCACATTCCCCACACTGATAGGGTTTCTCCCCTGTATGAATCCTTTGATGGGAACTGAGAGAGGAGCTTTTCCTGAAGCTTTTTCCACATTCCACACACTGATAGGGTTTCTCCCCTGTATGAATTCTGTGATGGGAAGTGAGATCAAAGCTCTTCCTGAAGCTCTTTCCACATTCCACACACTGATAGGGTTTCTCCCCTGTATGAATTCTTTGGTGGGAACTGAGACCGGCGCTCTGATTGAAGCTTTTTCCACATTCCCCACACTGATAGGGTTTCTCCCCTGTATGAATTCTGTGATGGGAAGTGAGATCGAAGCTCTTCCTGAAGCTTTTTCCACATTCCCCACACTGGTAGGGTTTCTCCCCTGTATGAATTCTCTGATGGGAAGTGAGATTGGAGTTCTTCCTGAAGCTCTTTCCACATTCCCCACACTGATAGGGTTTCTCCCCTGTATGAATTCTTTGATGGGAATTGAGAGAGGAGTTCTCACTGAAGCTCTTTCCACATTCAAAGCACTGATATGGTTTCTCCCCTGTATGAATTCTCTGATGCTTAGTGAGATTGGAGCTGCTCCTGAAGCTCTTTCCACATTCCACACACTGATAGGGTTTCTCTCCTGTATGACTCCTTTGATGGGAAGTGAGACTGTGGCTGTGAGTGAAGCTCTTTCCACATTCCCCACACTGATAGGGTTTCTCCCCTGTATGAATCCTTTGATGGGAAGTGAGATTGTGGCTGTGAGTGAAGCTCTTTCCACATTCCATGCACGGATAGGGTTTCTCCCCTATGTGAATTCTTTGATGAGAAGAAAGATGTGAGCTCCGACTGAAGCTTTTTCCACATTCCACACACTGATAGGGTTTCTCCCCCGTATGAATTCTTTGATGGGAAGTGAGAGAGGAGCTATCAGTGAAGCTCTTTCCACATTCCACACACTGATAGGGTTTCTTGCCTGTATGAATTCTTTGATGGGAAGTTAGACTGTGGCTGTGACTGAAGCTCTTTCCACATTCCACACACTGATAGGGTTTCTCCCCTGTATGAATTCTTTGATGGGAAGTTAGATTGTGGCTGTGACTGAAGCTCTTTCCACATTCCATGCACTGATAGGGTTTCTCCCCTGTATGAATTCTTTGATGGGAAGTGAGATCGGAGCTCTTCCTGAAGCTCTTTCCACATTCCACACAGTGATAGGGTTTCTTCCCAATGAGATTTCCTTGATGGGAAGTGGAATTGGAACTTTTCCCACTTTCAAGATATTTATACAGCTTCTCCATTGTGGGGATTTTGTCATGGTCACCCTTGTTCTTGATTTCCAGTCCATCACTATCTGCAATGAAGAGAAATGGATTAGCGCCTCAGGGAGGAATTAAGGAAGAATACTTGTTAACTCTGGTAATAGAGGAATAACACAAGTGGGTTAGATGGATGGTTTTCTGAAGGGTTGGGTGCATTAATTAACGGGGATCAACTGACATCCTTTGGGGAACCTGTGATTCGATAAGCTACTTCAACTTCCCTAACAACTCTGAAGTTGAGTTAAAATGGCCTGGGGAGTTCAGACCAGACTGATCCTTGTTTAGAAGCTGCAATGTTGTAATCCCATGTGTCCTAAGGGGGCATTGTTGAGTTCTGTGAAAATACATGAGGTTCATCACAGAGAGCTGTTTTGAATTTAAAAACAGATATTCTGATTGCAAAGAGATCCTTACCAAGAGTGGCCACGATCCCATGATTCTCCTCCATGACATCTTTATGCAGAGCTCTCTGGTCAGGATCCAGCAACTCCCACTCCTCATCTGTGAAACGAACAGCAACATCTTCAAAGCACACTGGACCCTAAAAGAAAAAGGGAAATGTCCTCCTATGAGACAACAATATTGTTCACCATGACGTCTTGATCTATGACATTGTTCCACCCCTTGACCTCTGTCCCCACAAGGCAGCTTACCCTGACCTGATCTGGATCCACAGCCACTGCTTCCTTTCTGTCCCCAAGGAAAGATGGATGAAGAGGTCTTGCGAGCATCATTCTGTCACCTGCAAGAGGAAAAAGGTAAGGGGGAGGCCCAGAGTGCCTGCTTCTCTCACAGGTGAATCAGTGAATCTAAACTATCTCCCCCAACAAAAGATGAAAAGAACCCACAGATGAGTTGGAAAACGAACAGAATGAGACTAAACGGAGAAAAACCACCTTCCTCCTTACCCAGTGGCCTCACTCTGGTGTCCAACAAAGGCCTCTCTGCCTCACAGGAATCCAGGTCCATTTCCACACAGAGATCCTTTCCCTGAAAAAGAAACAAGGATTCAAAACAGAGAATGATGAGAAGGAATATAAAATGAATGTCATGGCCAAAAACTTGAAGGGTGTTAGATCTCATTCCATGGATGCCTTGCAGAAAAAGAATGGGCCATCAGCAGACCATTATGGGATGTTTTCTGACCTGTTTGGATCCCCTTGGGAGTATCCAGAGGAAAGTCTCTCTCACCTGCTTTCTCTCCTCTGCCTGACTCAGGAGGAAACCTTCGGCCAGGGCCACCGCCTGGGAACTGGTCTCCGCTCCACAGTCCCTAACCCAGCTCTCCATCTCCGGTGGAAGGACAGCCAGGAACTGCTCCAAGATCACCAGGTCCAGCATCTCAGCTTTCGTATGCCTTTCTGGCTTCAGCCACTGACGGCAAAGGTGGTAGAGTCGGCTGCAAACCTCTCGGGGTCCTTTGGCCTCCTGGCAGCAGAACTGCCTCAACTGCTGGCTCTGCACCTCTGAGCGGAGGGTGTCCTCCTTACCCAGGATCTTCTGCACAGAGTTTTCCGAGAACCCCCCACTGCTCCCAGTTTGGATGGCATGGCCTCTTCCTGCTCCAGGGCCAGCTGAGTCTCGCTCATCCATCTATACTCTCAGGAAGCCTGTAACAGATCGGAAGAAACCCTTTGGTCTTCTGCCAAGTTCTGTCTGTCGTAGTGAAAAGCTTTAGGAAATCCTACAAAGCAAATACATTGTTCTACTATAAAGTTTATACACCCTCCCCCCCCCCTTATCACCCAAGAATCCTGCAAAATCCCTTTGTCAATAAATACAGTACGGGGGGGGGGCATTTCAGATTTTTTTGGCAGCAATAACAAAATTGTCAGGAAATCAGACAAAGAGGCAGAAGAGCCTACCAGCACCAATAAGCGTAACGTAAAACCTTATAGGAAAAATGTTAATCCACCAACTTTCTTAAACTTGCAGTGAGAACATCCATTGCTGGGAATATTCTCTGATGTTTTGGTATGCCCTGACTGCCAAGAATTTGCCTGGGCCGAGGACACAGGTTTTGTGAGAGGCAGAGCAGCATAAAGGAATGAAACAGGGTGTATATATTTATATTCTGCTTTTGAAATTTTGTACAGGTGTTAAATGTGCCATTTTTGTGATCTGGAAGGAAGTGGGTGAAATCTAAGAGGAGTCAGTCAGTGAATAAAATTCTCAGGCTCCTTTAAGACCAGATGCGCTGAGTCCATGTTCTCTGCTTATGGTGATGTTTTATACTCTAGGCTTGGTCTGACTTACATGTGAAACCCATTTCCGGATTGTTTTATTCAGTGCTGTGATGTCTTGCAAACTACAATGAGATCTTTTCTTTAAAATATAAAGCAGTATAGGAATGAAATTATGGTGATGATGAATTGCTTTTTTCTTACCTTTTCAGATAAGAAAACAGGCTGTGTCTGCTACTCAACATGACGCTGGTCGTGCTAAATCTGCCAGGTCAAATCCTATGTCAATCCCAATGGTACAGGCAATAAAAGCAAGGGAGAGGGATTTGCACACGAATGGGGAGGAGCTGGTCCTCCTTGCACTTTTTGATGCAGGACTTCCCATGGCTTTGTCCAGGCCTCAAGTAAAATGGCACAAGGGTAGGCAGAAAGACTGAAAAGCCTCTGCCTGGAACTCAATGTCCAACGGAATATAGTCAATTTCTTTGGTATTTTGGCGGATGGCTCAACAGAGAGGTCCACCGTGGCACCTGAGATCATTTCCTTTTATTCTATATTTGAAGATGAAGTGAAATGTACCTATGGAGCCCTTGGCAGAATGTACTCATAGACTATGCCTTCTTAACTACCAAACCTAAGCAGAAAAGAATCCAATTTAGATGGGATGTACCAGAAGGAGTGATGATTACCTTCAAATAACAGAGATTTTGACTGGACTCAGTACAGAAAGCTGGAGATTTCACAGAAAAATTCCAATTAGAAATGGATCAACCGTCTGACAGTATCAGATACAAGAGAGGCCTCTAAAAATTGAGAGCAGGAAGAGAGATCTAGGGAGGAGGGAGAGAATGGAAAGGGAGTCAGGAGAGCCAAAGGGAGCTGCAAGAGGACCCGGGAAAAAAGAGAGAAGATTCCCTTCCAAGATGGCGTTCCTGCCTTTTATTCTGGCCCTGCCCAGAGCAGGGCGAAGGCAAAAAGCAGATCTTTCTATGTATATGAATTCTCAGCAGAGGGGGGACGTCAAGTAACATGGTTTTTCTGTGAGCATGAGAAGAATGCAGATATGAGGCAGCCGTGTTTCTGCAGACATGGGCAACGCTGCCCCTTGCGTGGCGGATGGAAGTCTTCTTCCTCAGGAGAAGAAGCAGACCTGTGTGGAGACTCATGCCAGAGTTCGCCTCCCTCCGGCCTCACAGTCCCTCAGGAATGGTTTCCCCTTTCCCCTCAGCAGAATTCTCTGTTCTGAGTTCAGCAGAGCTTGCTCCCAGGGAAATGGGTCCACAATTGCAGCTTTACTCTGTGCTGGATTGCGGCTACAGTTCCTTAACAATGCAGATTTAAAATTTTTAATTTAGCCAGAGGCCGGATCACCACACCCAGTCCATTCAATTTATTCAGCAGGTGATGCAAAATACGATTAAAGGGAAAGGACCCCTGACAGTTAAGTCCAGTCACGAACGACTCTGGGGTTGCGGCGCTTATCTCGCTTGACTGGCCGAGGGAGCCGGCCATTGTCCACAGAGAGTATTTCTGGGTCATGTGGCCAGCATGACTAAGCCACTTCTGGCAAACCAGAGCAGCGCACGGAAATGCCGTTTACCTTCCTGCAGGAGCAGTACCTATTTATTCACTTCCACTTTGACGTGCTTTCGAACTGCTAGGTTGGCAGGAGCAGGGACCGAGCAACGGGAGCTCACCCCATCATGGGGATTCGAACCGCTGACCTTCTGATCGGCAAGTCCTAGGCTCTGTGGTTTAACCCACAGCGCCATCCGCGTCCCAAAACATGATGACACACACTGAAATAAGTCCAGAAGGTGGTCCTTAAAATGAGCTCCTTCTCAAAACGCTCTGCAGAAGCAGCTGTGCACTCCTCTCATGCTCAGGTTGTACCATGTCAGTGGCAAATGGATTGAATTGTTCATCATGAGCCCAAATCGCGTTCCAGCATGCCACTGCTAAGTCCATATAAACCATGATTTTGTTTGCCATGAACTGTTGGTGTTTTAATAGTTGAGCGCCAGCATTTCGTACTGGTCTCTTTTTGTGCTGTTTTCACAATGCTTCATGCTGTGTTTTCACGACATTTCTGCCAAGATTGTTTCATTGACTTGTTTTGTATTTGACTTGATGTTATCAGCCGCTCAGAGGATTTGGCCCAGGAGCGTCCAGAAACTGCATCCTCTTGGGCGAACCCCAGAGCTGAGCACTGCACAGAGTTCTGCATCTGCAAGGGGACATCAGGATGCGGCCGGGAGCGAGTCCCTCTCAGCACAGAAGAGGGGTGGTCCAGGGCCCCCTCCCTCTGGAAACCCCCAAAAGGAGACCTCTCCAAACTGTGCTCTCCTCCCCAGAACTGAACTGCTTGGAGAGCCTGGAGCTCTGCCTCCTGCCTGGTGAGGGCAGGCTCTGGCTGGCAGGCGCCTCTGCCTTCCTGCCTGGTGTGGGTAGGCTCTAGCTGGCAGGGGCCTCTGCCTTCCTGCCTGGGGTGGGCAGGCTCTGGCTGACAGGCACCTCTGCCTTCCTGCCAGGGTGGGCAGGCTCTGGCTTGCAGCCGCCTCTGCCTCCCTGCCTGGGGTGGGCAGGCTCTGGCTGGCAGGCGCCTCTGCCTTCCTGCCTGGGGTGGGCAGGCTCTGGCTTGCAGGCGCCTCTGCCTTCCTGCCTGGGGTGGGCAGGCTCTGGTTGGCAGGCGCCTCTGCCTTCCTGCCTGGGGTGGGCAGGCTCTGGCTGGCAGGCGCCTCTTCCCGGCACGCGCTCTCTCCTTCCCTGACCTTCCTCCTGGGGAGTCTGGCAAAAAGCTCTGGCTCTCAGCCCCGGGACTCCTTCCTCCTCTGGGTAGCAGGAGCACATGGGGGGGGGTCTTTGCACCCCTGACCCTCTCCTACCTGACTTGGGGTCCCCCCAGGCCCCCTCCCCTGCTGCAGCCCTGAGACCCCCACCAGATCCCAGAGAGAGAGAGAGGAGACTCACCAGATCCCAGGGAGACACCGAAGCAGGAGTGGACTGGAGAGGGAGGGGCCTTGGCTCTGGAGGACCCGCCCCCCCTTGCTTCCTGCCTCTCTAGGAAGGCAGCTCGGTTCCCTTTAACCCTTGCCAAGCCCAGCGTGCCCACCTCTCCCCTCCCCGTTTTTCTTTCTTTCCCACTTCCAGAGATGCTTTTTGGGGGACGCCCCCCCCACTTTGCTTTCCTTCTAGCGCAGTGATGGCGAACCTTTTAGGAACCGAGTCCTGAAACTGCAGCCCCAAACCCAATTTAACCGGCATATCTCATTTTTTCCCTGTGTCTTTCACGTTTCTTCTTTATGACTGCTGTTGTAATAAATAATCCTTCATAAAAGTTATTGCATTACATTCCTCGTTAAATTTCTTTCCATTGATACATGATTTTATGCTATAACTCAGTGTTTTTTTCCTAAAAAAAAATGTTTAAGGTACTCTCATTTTGACTCAAGAAAATCACCACCGGGAGAAAAAAAATACAGTTCAAATCTGGTAAAATAAATACAGTGAATTTCTTCTCCCGTTAAATTCACAAAATGTTCAGGGGTATGCGTCCCCCTGCGTCCCCACAGAAAAGAAGCACTGGTATTACTCCGAAACAAAGTGGTGTCATGAGCCATCAAACCTCGGAAATACAGTTTGTCCAGAAGGTTCCACAATTTTGGCCGCTAGTGTACACTGGAGCGCTGTACTAAGAGACCCTCTCCCAATTTTTGATATGAGATAATAATGATTGTCTGTGTGTGCAGGTACAAATAAATATAAATAAATAAACCCAGCCAGATGGGTGGTGGTGTAGCAAGTAGTCAGGCCAGTCAAATGAATTTGTTACGGAAAAAATCTGGGTGCGAGTTTGCTCTGCCACCCAGCTCGTCGGACTAACCTGTGAGCGGGAATAGGCTCTGAGGGAAAAGGGGGCAGGTTGAACAGGGCAGCGAAGGAGGGAGCAGCAAGGAGTAATGCAATGTATAGCACAGCAGAGGATAGAGGGACAAAGGACAACAATAAGGACAGTAAGAAATATAGCCTTGAGCAATTGTCGGAGCCATCCTAGCTTGGGCAACCAACCCCACAAGTCCACATCAGATAGCCCTTCATGTTGTATATCATTTAGCCTCCCAGCTAGCTCATGGATGTTATTTAAATGCCCAGTGATATTTAAGGATTGATCGGTCACATATGTACAACACTCTGTGCCTATTAAGGCGCATGTCCCTCCCTGACTGGACAGCAAAAAGTCCGTCGCAGTCCTGGTCTGCAAATTCAGCTGTCTTACCTCAGACAGTTCTGACATCAGGGAGTCCGTGATCTGGGCCGCTTCTTGCATGAACTTGAGAAGGATGTCAGTAAGTTGAAGAATGTCCACATGATTAGATCCTGCCCCATAGGCGGGAAAGAGGGCTCTGCCTATGGTCTCTCCATTTGCAGCAACGTCTGAGAGGTCTGACAGCTCCTTCTGCTCTCTTTTGTTCCTCTGTCTCCCGGGGGGTAGATGGGGAACTACCCTAATTCCGGGGACGAGATATCCTACGAAACAGGATCCAGACATGTGTGGGCTTACCCAGGTGTACGCACGGTGTCCACACACCCAGAATAAGCCGCTGAGGTAGGACTCCATTCTGCCTGAAGCAAAAGCCTGCAGTAGCATGAAGTCCGTGGGTTGAGGCTTCCAGTTGGGGGGGTGGCCGACAACAGTGCCCCAGGCAGTAGTGAGGTCCGGGAAAGTCTGGGAACCCCCTATGTCGGTGATGGTAACTTGGCCAGTGGGTAGGATCTCCAGATCAGAGTTGCATGTGCTGGATCCGATGAAGGTCCCTTCTCCAGTGAAGCTGCGGCAGAGGGGTCCTTTCGTAGGGCCGGTGAGATACAGATACTGGTGTGTCAGGTTTAATGCGGTTAGGTTCCAGGAGGAACGGAATTGCTCCAAAGTCACTGGCACTGGGACAAGGGGAAGGCTCTGTTGAAGGTGGCTGGGTGCATGTGCGCAGATCCAACAATCTGGGTAGGGTGCTTCCTTTGCCACCTGGCTGAGGAGTTTGATATAGGAGTTTTGTTCCCAGGATGAAAGAAGGTCTTCTCCTGGGAAGGCGGGGTCCGTGCCAAATTGTCGGGGTGCAGTACCGAATGGGTGGAGTGGGTCACTGGTGTTGAGGAGCCGTCTATCCTTGGCAATGCCACCGCACCTTAGAGGCCCAACATTGTCCCATGTGGGGGAGCGTGAGGGGTGCACAGGGTGGTGCCAGCCTTCTAGGTACTCGGCCCCCTTCCAATCGTGAGTGACCCCAAGGCTCCACAGGCAGCAGAACCGCCTCAGACAGAGTCCCTGGAGTTGAGGCTTCCGGGGTTCCGGGGTCATAAGGAGGCACTGGAACCCGAAGATCAAGTTCTCGGAGGGGTGGTTTGAGTCCGTGTACACATGTGAGGCCCCTCCTACCTCGATCTCGGTCCAATTTGGGCTCCGCGAGACTTCCCCGTTGCTGTAAAGAAGGTAGGTCCCATTATAACACTTCAGCCGGTAGAAGGAGTGATCGAGGGTGAGGGCAGCTGACCCGATGCGTTGCAGGTCCCTATCTCGGATAAAAAGTTCCCAGTATTCGTTATCAGTGAATCGGGGTACAAGCGAATGGCGCAACAGGGTCCGAGACTCTGGAAGGCAGAAATCAAAGTCCCCCATTCGGTCGGGATTGGACTTTCCTCCAGTCTCGACCCTGTGGTAATCCAAGAAGTGATAGTCCATTTGTAGTCCTGTACAATGGTCCGGCGAGAAAGGCGAGATCCCAGTCAGGGCGATGAGGATAAGGAAGGTGAGGATCAAGTTCACGATCGGTTTCGAGTTCACAGTCCACAGTCACGGGAGTTTGGAAGGGGAAGGAGGTCGGCTGTCAAACTAGTTGTCAAGACTCGCTGTCAAGGAAGCGAAGAAGGAGGTAGTCTATAGAGCTGTCAAAGTGAGCTGTCAAGCGAACTGTCAAACGAGCTGTCAAATGAACTGTCAAGCAAGCGGCAGTCTATGGAGCTGTCAAAGCGAGCTGTCAAACGAGCTGTCAAACCCGTTTAAAGCGTAATTTGATGGCGTTGGTGTCTGGGATGATCTCGGAAGTCCAGTTGGGTGATGTGGTGTCCGGTCCGGTCTGTTGAGCCCGACTCTGGCCCCGATCTGGTCCGGTCTGTTGAGCCCGACTCTGGCCCCGATCTGGTCCGGTCTGTTCCTCGTCGTCGTCGACGTAGGAGGTCGGCTAGGGAGGTGGGGTTTCGAAGGTATAATCCTCTCCGAGGCTCTCTAGCGTCTCCTGGGGTGGTGGCGATGTCTTGCACCTTGTGTGGTGTAGCCACGTGTTTTTCTCTCCTACTTTCACAGCGGTTGGTGAGGTCAGAAGCACTTGGTAGGGGCCTTCCCAAGCAGGCTGGAGGGGTAGTTTCTGGTAAACCTTGACCACGATCCAGTCACCTGGATGGAAAGAGTGGGCTTGGACATCGATGGGCAGGTTCTGTCCTTCGATAGCTGCGTATTGGTGGAGGCGCTGGAGCTGTGTCTGGAGCTGAATAATATAGTTAGTGAGTTCTGCTTCCCCCACCTCGAGTTCTGAGAGGGGAAATAAGGTGTTGTAAACGGGAGGAGGTCTCCCGAATAGGAGTTCAAACGGGGAAAGCTTCAAAGGTCCGGTTGGGGCACTGCGTATGTTATGGAGGACCAGTGGGAGCGCATTTACCCATTTCAGCCCTGTGAGCCTGCAAAGTTTTCCCAGTTGTATTTTTATCTCCTGGTTCATACGTTCTACTTGGCCAGAAGATTGTGGATGGTATGGAGTATGGAGATCCCACTTTATTTGGATAGCCTTGGCCACGAATTGCACATACGTCAGCGGTGAAGTGAGTTCCCCTGTCGCTGTCCAAGCGGCGGGGCACTCCAAATCGGGGAATAATGTCCTGTAGGAGGGCCCTAGCAACTACTGTGGCGGTGGCTTTCCGACAGGGGAATCCTTCCACCCAAGAAGAGAATTGGTCTACTATGATTAGGGCATGCTTGAAGCCCTGACATTGGGGCAGATTGATAAAGTCCAATTGTAAGCTTTCAAAGGGGACAAAGGCCCATGGTCTAGCCCCTGGTGGTTTCCTGGGCTCACACTTGGGGTTGAAGTTATTACAGATGATGCAGTTCTTTGAGGCTGCTGTAGCCACGGCTGCTATCCCTGGAGCATACCAAGACCTCTTAACATGCTCTATTAACCTCTCCTTTCCCCAGTGTGTTTGTTGGTGAAGGATCCGCACCAATTTTGGAGTCCAGGCTTTTGGAAGGACGGTTCTGCCATCGGGAAGGGTCCACATACCATTTTGCTCAGTAGCGCCTATGGATTCCCACATGGCTTTCTCTTCCTCTAAGGCCGATTTGTATATTTGTGTAGGGTCTATGTCGGCAGGAAACTGTAAGGCTTGGAATTCGGATTCATTGTTTGGGGGGCGAAACGCAGCCGTCTGGGCTGCTTTATCAGCCCGTCTGTTACCCCTTGAGACTGGGTCCCTTCCTTTGGTGTGCGCCTTACAGTGGATGACAGCTATTGCGGTGGGTAAGTGGATGGCCGTTAGCAGTCTCTCCACCAGGGCGGCATGTGAAATTTGGGAGCCGGCGGCAGTTAAGAAGCCCCTTTGGAGCCATATTTGGCCGGTCGTGTGTACTAGCCCGAAGCAGTATTTGCTGTCCGTATAAATGGTGGTCCTTTTTCCTTCGCTAATTTCACAAGCGCGTATGAGTGCAATTAATTCCGTGGCTTGGGCGCTATACTGTGGGTTAATTGGGTTGGACTCTAAGACTTCAAAGTCAGAGACAGCGGCATACCCGGTCTTTCTTTCCCCATCGATGACTTTAGAGCTGCCGTCAGTGTAAAGTATTAGGTCTGGGTTTTCTAAGGGGAGGTGATCTAAATCCTCTCGGGGTTTCTCAGCTTGACGGACTATTGTGACGCAGTCATGGTGTGGGGTGCAATCGTCAGGAAGGGGTATCAAGGTAGCTGGGTTGAGGGAATTCACCCGTTTAATGGTGACGTTGGATGGAGTTAGCAGAAGGGCCTCGTATCGGTTTAAGCGGGAGTTGGAGAAGTGGTGACAGCCTCTCAGGGTTAGGAGGGTGGAGACAGAGTGGGGAACATGGATGGTGATTTCATGTCCCAATACTGTTTCCTGGGCCTTTTCGAGGAGGATCGCAGCGGCGGCAATAGCCCTTAGGCAACTTACTGCTCCCTTTGCGGTATTGTCTAGCTGTAAGCTGTAATAGGCTACTGGCCTTTCTTGATCTCGGAAGGGTTGAGTTAGAACGCCTGAGGCTACCCCCATTTGTTCGTGGATGAACAAATTAAAGGGAATCCGGTAGTCTGGCAGGCCCAAGGCGGGGGCAGATCTTAATTCTCATTTTAGACGTTCAAAAGATTTATAGGCTTCTTCCTCCCAAACCAATGTATCTGGGTGGTCTTGGCGAGTCATAGCGGATAGAGGTTTCGTGATTTCACTATAACCCGCAACCCAAGCCCGGCAAAACCCGGCCATTCTGAGGAAGCCGCGTAATTGCCGCTTTGTCTTGGGGAGGGGAATTTTGGTGACAGCTTCGATTCTATCGGTTGCTAGGCTTCGGGTACCAACTCCTAGGATGTGCCCGAGGTACTTTACTTCTTGTTTACAGTATTGCAACTTTTTCGGGGATACCTTATGTCCCTTTCGTGCTAGCTCTGAAAGGAGGTGTTTGGTGTCTAATTTGCATGCCTCCTCACTAGTAGAGCATAAAAGCAGGTCATCTACGTAGAGAAGGAGGGCGGAGCCAGCAGGTAGGTGTATGTCTTGTAAATCTTGATGTAATATCGCAGAAAAGATTGCTGGTGATTCCACGTAACCCTGGGGCAGCCTGGTCCAGGTTAATTGGCTAGGTCCCCAGGTGAACGTGAAAAGGAACTGGCTGGCGGAGTCTAAGGGTATACTAAAGAAGGCGGAGCATAAGTCCGCAGCGGTGTACCACGTTGTTCCCGCCGGGATGGCATTTAGAAGAGAGTTTGGGTTGCCCACCACTGGGTGGCGGGGTATTACGAATTGGTTCACCAGTCTCAGATCTTGGACGAAGCGATACCGGACTGGGGCTCCCTCTGCTGAAGGTTTTTTTACGGGGAGCACTGGGGTGTTACAAGGTGACACACAGGGGATCAGGATCCCCTTTTCGAGGAAGTCTTCTATCATAGGTGTTAGTTCTTCAATGGCTTCTTTGGGTAGAGGGTACTGCTTGGTGCAAGGGAAGGGCAGGTCAGTTCTATAAGTGATCTTTACTGGAGTGGCTGATATTAAGAGTCCTACGGAGGTTGATTCTGTGCCCCATAATGAAGGAGGTAGTTCATTCTCTAGTTCGGGAGGGAGTTCGGGAAATTGGCGGTCTGATTTTGCTTCCTGTATCATGCCCTGGAATGCGGGGACGGAGTCTTCAGGCATATACAAGTAGATGCCATCCCCGGAACATTTTATTGTGGCATTTAGTTTACAGAGCAGATCTCTGCCGAGGAGGTTTACAGGACTGCTAGTTAGGAGGAAAGTATGCTCCGCCAGTAGGGGTCCGAGAGTGACTTTAGCCGGTTGTGAGAGTGGGCAAGTGCGGGGTAACCCATCCAGTCCCATGACCTTCCTGGTCTCCGACCCTGGTTCCAGGTGGCTGTCGGTTAAGGTGGAGTATGTGGCTCCTGTATCTAATAAGCATTGATAGGGGTGGCCATCGATCTCAATAGTACAAACGGGGTCTTCTGGTGATAATGCCAGGATGGGACAAATGGCTTGGCTTGGGTTGGGATCCCCTTTTAGTTGTCAATATGTCTCCTGGTCGTCAGGGGGTGGTTGATTTGGCGGGTGTAAGGGAGGAGCAGTGGTGTTAGTCCAAGGGTGAGTAGGTGGATTTATGGCGGGCATTGGAGTCCGTGGACCCGGTTGGGGTCGTTGGCTTTGGGGTAGTGAATTCAGGGCCACTTGCGGAGTATAGGCTGTAGGTGGCTGGTTCCCATATCCCTGGGTCATATTGGGACGTGATGGGAAAGGAGAATGGTTGGTATTATCATAAGAAGACTTAAATTCTTGTCCCCCGTAGGCTGCTGTATTAAGGTAGGGACAGAATCTTTTTATGTGTCCCTCTTCCTGACAGTGGTAACATCCTCCAGTTGTGGGTCCCCACTGCCTGTAGGGATTGGGGGGTCCTCCTCCCCGGACCCCTCTTCCTCGGCTGAAGCCTCTGCCCCGGCTGGGGCTAGGTTCCATGCTCAGGGCTAAGATCTGTTCAATTTCAGGTTTGGTCTCCTTTCGCTTCCTCTCATCTCGGGAGTTGTAAACTGATTTAGCTATAGATAGGATTTCGCTAATACTCTTCCCGTCATATCCTATTTGGAGGTTTAGGGCTTTTCTGATATCTGGGCTGGCTTGGTCCTTTAAAAAGCCCTTTATGATAACTTCATGCTGGGGGTTCTCCGGGTCTATCCCCCCCATGTTTTGATAGCTGATACCAGCCTGGTGTAATAATCTGATGGGTGCTCGTTTGGTCCTTGCAGTACTGTTTGGACCTTCGTCCAATTGACGGTACGCTGTCCAGCAGCTTTTATGCCATCCAAAATTGCTTTCTTAAATAAATTTAAGCACCAGATCCCGTTGGTGGTGTTGTAGTCCCAGGTTGGTTCTATACATAAGCATTGAGCTGAGAGGGCCTCTAACCCTTCGGGACGTCCTCTCTGATAATCCGGGAGTTCTATGGCCTCTCCAGCTTTGGCCAGAATGTCCGCCTTTTCGGCTTCGTTAAAGAGGGCGTTCAAAAGGACGTGGACATCTGGCCAAGTGGGCTTGTGGGTGGAAAAAATAGCGCTGACTTGACGATGGCACTTATCCGGATCGTCCCTCAGAGAAGGCATTTGATTTGACCAGATTACTAGGTCAGCTGTATAAAATGGTTGGTGCGTGTAGACCGTCCGGGGGGGTCCATCGGGTTGGAGAGGTGGAATTGGCAAGGCCCTTAAGGGCATCTGGACCGCTGTAGGACTCGCTTGACTAGAAGTCCCCGGGGTTCCTCTGGGTCTTTCTATGGGGTTTTCTGCAGGACTACGGTGCTCTGGGGTGGGGTTCTTCTTTGTTCTGGCTTGTAATCTTGTAAGTCTCTGATTCCTGCCCCCCCGTACTCCTTCTTCCCCTGCTTCCTCGCCGCTATCCGAGTTGTCGCTAGGGGCGGGTGGTGTCGGTTCTCTATAGTAAAAGGGAATCAGGGCTTGTTCCATAGAGTCGTCTGCGGGGTGTCCCTCGTAGGGGGGGGCAGGGGCAGGGGCTGCCTTCCGGGATTTAATATGGGCAGCTGATAAGATGGGGCTCCCTTCGAGGCTTGGAGCAGTCCTTTGACCGTCTCAAAGGCGGCCAAATACTCTAACTGACAGGGTTTTTCTTCCATCAGGTATTTTCTTAGGTGTTTCAGGCGGTCTTCACTAAACGAGCCTCCTGTTGGCCAACGTAGTTCTGGTTTGGCGGAGGCGGTACTGGCGGGCCAGGTCTCTGTGCAGAGGTCCTCTAGTTTTTGCTTCGACAACAATTTATGGCCAGGAATTGACTTCCAATAGGTGATGACAAATTCAAGAGGGGAGTCAGGGTCCCTCTGGGACTGGGATGGCTTTCTGGAAGCCTTCCTCCCAGAGTGAGCCCGCTCGTGCTTGGAAGCCTGGGTACCCATATTATGGTTCACGCGTGTCTGGGTAGAGAGAAGGGAAAAGAGAGGGGTCAGTAAGGATTTAGGTAACTCGTACAGGGGTTTATTTAGGGAGGGTTTTCTATGTCTTGTTGCTTGGCAATTTCCTAGTGGTTTTAGTGAGCTCTAACTATCCGGTTTCCTTTTCTATTCCTTTCCTTATTTCCTATTCCATAACTTGGGGTTCCTTTCCACTCTGCCGATCCCGCCCAATACCTCATGGGCTATCCCTCCTGGCAACCTCCTACCTATCGTCACAATCTCAGGAAAAGGGGCCCTACTGAACAACCGCGCCGTGCGGTGCCAGATCGGGTGATCCCTGGATAGAGTTTGGACCGAAAATCCCCCTTGCTTTCGGAAGCGGGCTCACGCACGATACACGTGCTACGTGGCACTGACTGGTGCGGCTGGGATTAATGATAGAAAGCCAGACCCCTTCCTGCCCCCTTGCCGGGTGCTAGGGAAGTTCGGAAAAAGAACTCCAACCCCTTGCTTTCAACTGAGATGCCCGTTGCGGAGAGTCGGCTGTCTCTCAAGTCGGCTCTCTCCGTCTTACTTTCGGGCTCCCAATTGGTGGGGCTGGCTGGAGGGTTTTCAAGAGAAAGAGATAGAGCTCAGAACCCCCCTTTCGGGTCGAGTGGCGGTCCATGGTCTCTCTCACTAACCGGACCAAGAGAAAGGTAAGAAGGAGCAATAGAGAGGAGGGCAGAGAATTCAGTTCAAATTCAGGACTTCCACCCCTTTCCCACCAGTGCACTGGATTTTCCTTTTTCCTTACACTCACACGTCTTCTATGATGATCCCGGGATCGATGAATAAGCCGGCCGGATCCCTCTTTGCTCCCTGGCTGAACTCTTGGAGCGTTCGATTACCGCCCGGAAGATGGCCGGAGGTCCAAAAGGATCTTCCCAGGCAAGATGGCCTGGAGCCAGCTGAAGATTTTGGGGGCCCCGGTCAGCAACACGGGAGAACCGCTCGCCCCACGTTGGGTGCCAACTGTTGCGGAAAAAATCTGGGTGCGAGGTTGCTCTGCCACCCAGCTTGTCGGACTAAGTCCGCGGGTCCCTGCGGAGGAAAATGAGCTCAGCCAGAGACAGGAGCAAGCTGCAGAAGATCCAAGTTTATTGTGCAACAGGTTCAAGGCGAGCTTGAACAGCGGGAAGGGGTGACATGAGCTTTTGAAACTTCCCTCCATGTCCCATAATACAGTGCAAAATACATCATAGTAACATCATGAATACATTAAAGAGAGGTTGGGTTACACAGATGACATCATGAATACATTAAAGAGAGGTTGGGTTACACCAGATTAACATACAGAGGAGGGAGGGGGGAATATGCAGAGCAGGAGATATGCGCAGATAAGCATTTCCTGAGTACCGGTGATGAGAAGACAATAGTCCAAGTATGTAAAGTCTGCCACCTGGCATTGCCCGGAGGAAAGGCTGGGCAGAGCGATTTGACCGGATTAGGGTGTTCCTGAGTACGTGACACCTCGCTTGAGGGATTATGGAGGCAGGGGAGGTGTCATGGAGTCCTGAAGAGACTGAGTCGATCGGTACCAAAAGCAAGAAAATTGGAGTTGTGGTTGATTTTATACAAATTTTTAAGGATTTTTAGTCCATTCCAGTCCATTTTATATTGGTGATTGAAGTCGGAAACAAAATAGATACATTGTTGCAAGATTTGACACTTTTATGAGTTCACAAGTTTCGGTTCCATTGTTCTCCCAGCAGGGAGCCGTCAGCAGCTTGTCAAGAGGTTAAATGAGGCGTGCAGGAGCTCGCTGAGCTAGCTCTGCAAAGCGAATGCATGGTTCTGATTGGGTAGAACGCAGCCATTGAAACGAATGGGGGATACAGCTTCGTACGGTCTACCCACAGTAAAGCTAGAGCGAGAAAGAGGCTTAAGAGTTTGGGCTTATTTCGCCCGTATAGGAAAGGGAAAGGTACTTTATTTATGGGGCTTGGGGTAGTGTGTGGTGTTTGTGTAACGGTGTGGGGGCTGAGGGGTCGATGTAGGGCTGGGTGCCCTTGAGGTCATCACCTCGGACCCTCTGGTGACCGGCGGAAGGGTGAAGGAAGGCATGCCCCCCCCTTCCGTATCAAATTAAAGTTAAATGAATTAAATTAGAAGAATTAAAGCAAGAAAGTTTTAATTGTTTGCCGGCAGCAAGAAATGGCACGGAGGAATAAGTTCCGTAGTCCGGACCTTCCCAGCAGGGGAGGCTTTCCTTTATACGTTCTTGAATCAGGTCTTTATCCAATCAAAAGTTACAGCATTGCACATACAGTGGTACCTCGGGCTAAGTACTTAATTCGTTCCGGAGGTCCGTTCTTAACCTGAAACTGTTCTTAACCTGAAGCACCACTTTAGCTAATGGGGCCTCCCCCTGCCGCCACACGATTTCCGTTCTCATCCTGAAGCAAAGTTCTTAACCCGAGGTACTATTTCTGGGTTAGCAGAGTCTGTAACCTGAAGCATATATAACCTGAAGCGTATGTAAATCAAGGTACCACTGTACTCTGATAGATACAATAGATTCTGCCTAGAGACAAAAACTGCTTTGCCTGGAGACTGTGTTCCAGAGAGATACATGAGGTTCTGCCTAGAGATAGGGCATGAGGAGTTGGACATGACCCTTCCCTGTCCTTACTTGGTAATCCTTATCAGCCCGTCTCTGGGTGTCTCTGGGCTGTGGGTGTCTGAGTGCATGTACCAGATATGGGCCTGGCCTAGATCAACCCAATGGCTTCCTTGCTTAACATTTTAACTCCCAAAACGCCTTCCCTGAGCACGTTGCCACAGTGGTGGTGGTTATATTTTGCCGTTTCTTCGGCTGCCCTTTGCTCACAGCCTCCAAGGAATGAATTCCTCCGTTGGCTTCCATGGGAAAGCCCAGCGAACATGTCAACCCAGCAGCCCCTTCTAATGTGGCCGTCTTCATGCTTACTGACCTGGGAGTCAGGCCCTGCTGAACTCAAGGCAGCTTACTCCCGAGTAGGAAACACAGACTGGCGAGCCCCTCACTCGGGCAAGGAGGCTAAGGCCCTGCTGGGATTACCGTGCGCGTGCCCACAGAGGGGGCTCTAGGTTTGCCACTTTGCCATTTTGGCAGCTCTCATGAACTCTTGACCAGGAGACTAGCAGCTGCCAGAACCTCCATTGCTCCAAAATAGATTTCAGTTATTCCATTTATATTCCACCTTTTTCTCCCCAAGGTCACCCCAGGGAGCTTCATGGCTGGGTGGGGATTTGAACCCTGGTCCCCCAGGTCATAGAGTCCAGCACCCAAACCTCTACCCACCACTGAAATCCTTACATGTTTTCCAGATTTCATTTTGGTACAGAAATATGTGGATTTCAGCATTAGCTGAAAAAAATAACTTATAAATTACTTGCTGCCAAAGGCTCAGATGACCCTGTACAAGTACCATGATGTCTGGTAGGATTTTATCTTTTATCTTCCCAGCTGCACTGGCTCCTGGTGGAGTACAGGGTCAGGTTTAAGGTGCTGGTTCTGACCTTTAGAGCCATATGCGGCCTAGGACCCTCCTACCAACGGGACTGCCTCTCCTGGTATGGTCCATAAATAACAACATTTTGGAGGTCTCGGGCCTCAAGGACGTTAGGTTGGTCTCGACCAGGGCCAAGGCCTTTTCAGCACTGGCCCCAAACAGGTGGAATGCTCTGTCACGGGAGACAAGGGCCCTGTGGGAGTCGACATCTTTCCGCAGGGCCTGCAAGACGGAGTTGTTCCACCTGGCCTTTGGTCTGGACTCAGTCTGATCCTCCTCTTTCTTTTTTTGATGGAAACTCTTATATGGGATCCTGTATATAAATTTTCCCTCGGGCCTTTTGCTGGCCCATATAGGACCAGCATGGATAGCTGAACTTGGTGAATATTTGATGTTTCATTCCCTTATGGTCTTGATTTGTGAGTCGCCAGTAAAATAAGGCTGCATTTTAAGCTGCATTTTAAGCTGTATTTTAATTAGGTTTTTTTTGCTTTTTTTAAACTGTATTTTATATTCGGTGTTAGCCACCCTGAGCCCGTTCTTGGCCGGGGGCGGGGTATAAATAAAAATCTTCTTCTTCTTCGTCTTCTTCTTTGCAACAAATAAAGACACACAGTACTCCCAGGCCTGGGAACTGAGTCTTATCTCATCCCCCTTTCCTGGGAAGGGCGCCAAGAGTCCCAGAGTCCCAAGACAGGAGCTTTCTGTTCATCCTCAGGGAAACTCCGGAGGAGGGGGAGAAGGGGGAGGGAACTGGAGGGGAATATATGCTCTGTGCAAATGGCTGTGAACTTGTGCTTGTTTGTGAAGTTATCACACTAGCTCCTTCTACCAAGCCCGGATGGTAGAAATAAAGCTTTTTCTCTGAAATTATCCCTTGAGTGTCTGTTTGACTCCCATTTCCCTCTCCCCGGGTGCAGTGCTCTTCCCACCCGAGGGCAAAGCCTGAAAAGTGGACTTCTGTTTAAACTTGTATATATTTATATTATTATTTTATACTATACAAATAATTGTTGAATGTTACTTTTTGATGTAGGTTGCTTATTTTAAAGTTTTATTATCTCATTTTTGTATTGCATTAGATTGTTATAAGATGTACATTTTTTGTTTCTTCAGCTTGTAAACCGCCTTGAGTGTTGTAAGGTAGAAAGACGGTATACAAATTAAAAATGATGATGATGAACCTCGTGGGACTTTGAGCTGCTTCCGGATCCAGCCGAGACTCAGGCAGACTCAGTGGCTGGAAGCGCCTTTGAGCAACTGCAGATGGTTCCACATTCCAGGACCGGGAGAGCCTGGCCTCACGCCTTTGCTTCTTCAAGGCTGGATGACCACAGTGCCCTCCATGTGGGGCATCCCTTGCGCTTGGTCCAGAAGCTTCAGCCGGTGCAGATTGCTGCAGCACGATTGCTGTCAAAGCGAGGCCTTCTCGGCATATGACCCTTTGGCTCAGAGGGCATCACTGGTTGCCCATTGGCTACCAGACCCAGTTCAAGGCCTTCCCATTATCATAGGGACCAGTTTACCCATGAGATCCCCTCCTTACCCCACAGGCAGACACTCGACCGCTTCAACCACAGGTGCCACGCAAGACCTCAATTGTTTAGTATAGCAGCACAGACCCTTTGGAACTCCCTGCCTCTTGAGATCAAGCAGGCGCCTCCCTCCCATCTTTTTGGGGAACCTGCTAAAAACATGCCTGTGTAGGTGCTTAGAAAGTTGGGGTGAATATGAGCATTTTAACTTTTTGCATGTTTTAAAGTACTGCTGTACGTTTTTCAAGATTTCAGTGTATCTTTTTGTAAACTGCCTTGAGGGTTTTGTTTTGTTTACAATCAAGTGGTATATACATTTTATGAAATAAATAAATAAATGATCACCAAACTTACTTTTTCAAAACATCCCCCAAAATGTTAGCTTAATTGTAGTTACTGAAAGCCAGACTTTCTCAATTTATTCAGATATACGTAGGAGATTGGCTGCTCTCTCCTCAAAATTTAGCTATCACAAACTCAGCAGCAGTAACAAAGTTGAATGCTGCAAAGTGGACCGTGAAGCCTCCTGCCTGGTGTCAAGTGGCAGTGAGTTCCAAAGTACACTTGCTGCCACACCAACAGATCAATCTTTAAAGTTGGAGGTTCCTACAGGGCAGGGCTGGAGGGTTGCACATTCAGTGGCCCAGTATTAGTGCTTTCTAAACAAAAGCATATCATTTCCTCTTCCAAAAATGCTTAATTGTGAATTCAAGGGATCCTGAAGTCTTTACAGACAGAGATGACAAGACAGCTTTCCAGATTAGTTAGCTGGGAGTGAGACAGTTGGTAGAGTGGCACTGGGCTGGCTAAGATGCCAGCTACTACAGGAATTGCTTTCTTGAGCCTTTTTAGCACTGCAATACCATTTCTTTAAAAAATCAAAAAGGTTGATTTTTAAGACATGGCAGAGTGTGAGCAAATACTCCACATCTGCCAAGCTTTCAGGAGCAGGACTAAGGGGTGAAATGAAGCCCCCCAGATCCCCAAAGGTTGAGGGAAAGGCTCTATCTCCCTTCTTCCTTTTCATTATCAGTTCTTTCCACCTAAGAAATGGGAAGAAAGCAGCTGCTCATGTTAAAATTTATGAGCTGACGATGGTATGATTTGTCAGCAATAAATATGATTTGTTCTGTAAGTGAAGTCACATTTGAAACAATACAGAAGGAATCAAAGGGAATTTCCTAGGAAGTCTTTTTTTCAGTCTCACCTGCAATCATGTGTGCTGAACACACAGAAACACATAGATAATGTGAAATAACTGGGAGTTACAGACTCCAAATAACACGCAACACATGCAAGCAGATTAATGCAATAGTACATTGCTTTTATTTATTTGCATGGTAGAGAAGATAATTTTAAAGAAAGCAATGGCTACAACTATAAACAAATACCTTACACTGATGAAATTGCAGACTTTCTTCCTGCCACGTGTTACAAGTTTCATTTGATTACTCTAAAAGATCACGCCACCTTTTCCCATGAGTGCTGGGTGGATTCCGGCAACAGTCTTAACAATTTATATATTCAATAAACTTTGGCCACGTGTTATAAAAGGAATATCGATTGTGTTCCCTCACCGTCTTGATTTCCCTTGGCAAACAAAAATTTTAGATACTGAAATTGTGGTGCCCAGAATTGAACACAGTATTCTGGAAACAAAATAAAAAAATTCCTTCCAGTAGCACCTGAGAGACCAACAAATTTTGTTATTTGTATGAGCTTTCGTGTGCATGCACACCTCTTCAAATACCATTTTATTTTGTTTCGACTACAGCAGACCAACATGGTTACTTACCTGTAACTAGAACAGTATTCTGGGTGGGGCCTGACCAAGGCAGAATAAAGTGGTACTATTCCTGCCCTTGATCTGATTCTGCCTTCTGCCACATTGGTCTCCGCTCCCCGTTTGGTGTCCTCCGCCAATGTGATGAGCATCCCATCAGTTCCTTCATCCAAGACATTTATAAAGAGGTGAACAACAACGGGCCCAGGACAGAACCCTGCAGCACCCCAGGATGATGAGGAACCATGAAGGAGTCCTCTTTGGGTTCGGTCAGTGAAATCCACCTAACAGTTACCTCATTCAGCCTCAACTTAACAGCTTCCTCACATAAATATCACGGGGGACTTTGTCAGAAGCCTTTTCTGAAATCAAGATGCACTATTTCCACAGCAGTCCTATGATCAACATAGTTTGTAACTCCATCCAAGAAAAGAAAAGGAAAAGAAAAAAAGAGAGATTTCTCTGGCTTGACTTGTTTTTGAGAAAGCCATTCTTTCAACCAGTATGTTTTTGTTGTGAAACACCGTGAAATCCTCAGATGATAGGCACATAAATTTTTAAAATGATGATAAGAAGGATATTGTCAAGCTGGAACATGTGCAGATAAAGGCGATCAAGATGGTGTTATTATATTTATTTCATTTCTATAGTGCCCTATAGCAGGGGTGCCAACTTGAATAAAATATAGAAGGGGTTTAGCAAGCCCCACCTCGGTTAAACAGTCACAGGATGCGGTTCATGCATGCCATTTGAATGGCTGTTCCTATGAACTGGGGGGGTGGCCCCCTCAAATATCTTATTGGGGGGCAAAGACCCCTCAGACTCAGAGTTGGCTCCCATTCCCTACACTCACAGGTCTCAGGACGGTTACAACATAAAATCACACAATGAAAACACAAAACACACAGCCCAAACCTGTAACCCCCACCTCCCCACCACATTTAAAAAGGGCATTAGATGTCAATCAGCCAAAGACCTGTTTAAAGTGGTGTGTTTTTCTCTAGCGCTGAAAACTGTATTATGAAGGGTTTTCCACTCTTCGTATGAATTCTTTGATGGGAACTGAGATTGGAGCTCACACTAAAACGCTTTCCACATTCCACACACTGATAGGGTTTCTCCCCTGTATGAATTCTGTGATGGGAAGTGAGAGAGGAGCTCACACTAAAACGCTTTCCACATTCCACACACTGATAGGGTTTTTCCCCTGTATGAATTCTTTGATGGGAAGAAAGATGTGAGCTCTTCCTGAAGCTTTTTCCACATTGCAAACACTGATAGGGTTTCTCTCCTGTGTGAATTCTTTGATGGGAAGTGAGATCAGAGCTCGTACTGAAGTTCTTTCCACATTCCACACACTGATAGGGTTTCTCCCCTGTATGATTTCTTTGATGGAAAGTGAGACCGGCACTCTGACTGAAGCTCTTTCCACATTCCACACACTGATAGGGTTTCTCCCCTGTATGAATTCTCTGATGGGACGTGAGATTGGTGTTATTATTGAAGCTCTTTCCACATTCCACACATTGATAGGGTTTCTCCCCTGTATGAATTCTTTGATGGGAAGTGAGACTGGAGCTCTGACTGAAGCTCTTCCCACATTCCCCACACTGATAGGGTTTCTCCCCTGTATGAATTCTTTGATGGATAGTGAGATTGGAGCTCTGACTGAAGCTCTTTCCACATTCACCACACTGATAGGGTTTCTCCCCTCTATGAATTCTTTGATGGATAGTGAGATCGGAGCTGTGAGTGAAGCTCTTTCCACATTCCACACACTGATAGGGGTTGCCCCCTGTATGAATACTTTGATGGAAAGTGAGACCAGCACTCTGACTGAAGCTCTTTCCACATTCCACACACTGATAGGGGTTCTCCCCTGTATGAATTCTCTGATGGGAAGTGAGATTGGAGTTACCATTGAAGCTCTTTCCACATACTACGCACTGATAGGGTTTCTTGCCTGTATGAATTCTTTGATGGGAAGTGAGACTGGAGCTCTGACTGAAGCTCTTCCCACATTCCCCACACTGATAGGGTTTCTCCCCTGTATGAATTCTTTGATGGATAGTGAGATTGGAGCTCTGACTGAAGCTCTTTCCACATTCACCACACTGATAGGGTTTCTCCCCTCTATGAATTCTTTGATGGATAGTGAGATCGGAGCTGTGAGTGAAGCTCTTTCCACATTCCACACACTGATAGGGGTTGCCCCTGTATGAATACTTTGATGGAAAGTGAGACCAGCACTCTGACTGAAGCTCTTTCCACATTCCACACACTGATAGGGGTTCTCCCCTGTATGAATTCTCTGATGGGAAGTGAGATTAGAGTTACCATTGAAGCTCTTTCCACATACTACGCACTGATAGGGTTTCTTGCCTGTATGAATTCTTTGATGAGAAGTGAGAGAGGAGCTCTGACTAAAGCTCTTTCCACATTCCACACACTGATAGGGTTTCTCCCCTGTATGAATTCTCTGATGGGAAGTGAGACTGCAGCTATTAGTGAAGCTCTTTCCACATACTACGCACTGATAGGGTTTCTCCCCTGTATGAATTCTTTGATGGGAAGAGAGATTGGCTCTCTGACTGAAGCCTTTTCCACATTCCACACACTGATAGGGTTTCTCCCCTGTATGAATTCTTTGATGGGAAGTGAGATGGGCTGTCTGTCCGAAGCTCTTTCCACATTCCATGCACTGATAGGGCTTCTCCCCTGTATGAATTCTTTGATGGGAAGTGAGATTGCTGCTGTCGCTGAAGGTCTTTCCACATTCCACACACTGATAGGGCTTCTCCCCTGTATGAATTCTCTGATGGGAAGTCAGAGAGGAGCTCTTCCTGAAGCTCTTTCCACATTCTATGCACTGATAGGGTTTCTTCCTAATGAGATTTCCTTGATGGGAAGTGGAATTGGAACTTTTTCTACTTTCAAGATATTTATTCAGCTTCTCCATTGTGGGGATTTTGTCATGGTCACCCTTTTCCTCGATTTCCAGTCCATCACTATCTGCAATGAAGAGTAATGGATTAGCGCCTCAGGGACAAATTAAGGAAGAAGACTTGTTAACACTGGTAATAGAGGAATAACACAAGTGGGTTAGACGGATGGTTTTCTGAAGGGTTGGGTGCATTAATTAATCAACCGACATCCTTAGGGGAACCTGTGATTCGATAAGCTACTCCAACTTCCCTAACTCTGAAGTTTACACTTAAAATGGCCTGGGGAGTTCAGACGCTGCAATATTGTAATCCCAGGTGACTTAAGGGGGCGCTGTTGAGTTCTGTGAAAATATATGAGGTTCATCACAGAGAGCTGTTTTGAATTTAAAAACAGATATTAGGATTCAAAAGGGTTCCTTACCAAGAGTGGCCACGATCCCATGATTCTCCTCCATGACATCTTTATGCAGAGCTCTCTGGTCAGGATCCAGCAACTCCCACTCCTCATCTGTGAAACAAACAGCAACATCTTCAAAGCACACTGGACCCTAAAAAAAAAGGGGAAATGTCGTCCTATGAGACAACAATATTGTTCACCACCACGTCTTGATCTACGACTTTGTTCTGCTCCCTGACCTCTGTCCCCACAAGGCAGCTTCCCCTGACCTGATCTGGATCCACAGCCACTGCTTCCATTCTGTCCCCTTGACAAGATGGATGAAGAGGTCTAGCCAGTATCACTGTGTCACCTGCAAGAGGAAAAAGGTAAGGGGGAGGCCCAGAGTGCCTGCTTCTCCCACAGGTAATGCCTGCTGAGTGCATTTGGATGTTTGGGTGCATTTCAGATGTTAGTTTTGAAAAATATATCTCCCCTCCTCTGGGCTATTGGTCCCACTATCTCTCCCAACAAAAGATGAAAAGAACCCACAGATGAGTTGGAAAACCAACAGAATGAGACTAAACGGAGAAAAAACTCCTTACCCAGCTGCCTCTCTCTGGTGTCCAGCGGAGGTCTCTCTGCCTCAGAAGATATCTGGCCCATTTCTGCAAAGAGATACTTTCCCTGAAAAATAAACAAGGATTCAAAAGAGAGAATGGGGAGAAGAATTAAAAAATGAATGTCAGGGCCAACAGCTTCAAGAGTGACAGATCTCATTCCATGGATGCCTTCCCAGGAAAAAAAATGAGCCATCAGTAGAGCATGATGGGATGTTCTCTGTCCTGTTTGGAGCCCCTTGGGAGTATCCAGAGGAAAGTCTCTCTCACCTGCTTTCTCTCTTCTGCCTGACTCAGGAGGAAACCTTCGGCCAGGGCCACCGCCTGGGAACTGGTCTCCGCTCCACACTCCCTCACCCAGCTCTCCATCTCCGGTGGAAGGACAGCCAGGAACTGCTCCAAGATCACCAGGTCCAGCATCTCAGCTTTCGTGTGTTTTTCCGGCTTCAGCCACTGATGGCAAAGGTGGTAGAGTCGGCTGCAAACCTCTCGGGGTCCTTTCGCCTCCTGGCAGCAGAACTGCCTCAACTGCTGGCTCTGCACCTCTGAGAGGAGGGTGTCCTCCTCAACCAGGATCTTCTGGGTTTCCCAGAACGCCCCACTGCTCCCAGTTTGGATGGCATGGCCTCTTCCTGTTCCAGGGCCAGCTGAGTCTCGTTCATCCATCTGTGCTCTCAGGAAGCATCTGAGAGATCGGAAGGAACCCTTTGGTCTTCTGCCAAGTTCTGTCTGTCTTAAGGAGAGGCGCTAGCAAATCCTACAAAGGAAACACATTATTCCGTTATAAAAGTTGTCTAATATCAGGAGAAGAAAATGTTCCGTGAGGAAGCATGGATGAGTCTCACAGATTCATTCACGTTCACAGACATATCCTTGAAGGCAGGCTTAGGTTACATAACAACTAGAACTTTTCCATATAGAAGTTAGTCCCAAATGACTGCCACTAAGGAGTCACTTCTCCAAACACACAGCAACATACAAAATGGAGAACTCACACTGATCAGAACATGGAGGCCGTGTGCTCCTCCATGCTAGTACAACAGACTGCACCCTCTTCAAGTCACATGCAGTGGAAGTCTGTCCCAGCTCAGGCGGAAACAGGAAGTCTTCTCCTGAGTGGTAGAAAACATCCCCTAATGTGTCCACTGTAGGAATGTTCTACTTGACTGCAGTTTCACATCCTACAAAATCAATAAAGCAGAAATAAAACAAGCTAAAGAAAGACAAATATAGTCTATAGTCAAAGCAACATAACTGAAAACAAATATTCTCTTAAAGATATAAAAATAAAACATTACAAAGGAGGTCAACTACAGAATACATATTTAACACAGTAGGGCTGGGTGAGTCTGGGCCTCACCCCTAGGCCAGGTGAAAAGGGCCTTTCTAAAAAGGAGAAGAAAGAGGAGGAGGAGGAAGAAGAGGAGGAGGAGGAGGAAGAAGAGGAGGAGAAGGAAGAAGAAGCAGACTCTAGCTCTTCTAGAAGAAAGATTGCAATGCAAAATGTGGAGGCAAGGGATTTCTGGGAGATGAATCAACCTGGTTTCTCCTGCCTTCCAGTCAATGCATTAAGTCAGAACCGACTGACAAGGGAGTCATTTGTATCTTGTGAAAAATGGATGCTTGGCTCTAGTGGGGGTCCTCACCTGGGGGTCCTCAGGAGTTGCTCCCCCCACCCCCACTCCCCTGCTTCTGTCTCCTTTTCTTGCACTTGGACTTTCTGCCACTCTCAATACAGACTCCTGGGGTGGGGTCCCTTTTTCTTTGCTCTGAGGGCCAGGTATGGGCAGGGCCAAAGACATCTCCTTTGAAAATTAGAAGGGTAATTTAGTATTATTATTCTGTTAGATAGCTTAACACACACACAGCCATTGATGCCAAGGTCCCTGGAGGCTCGGTGAGTAGCAGCGCCCATTTCCAGCAACAATTCCTTTGGGAGAGAGAGGATGTGGTCCTGGGATGCCCTGCTCTGGGTGCGAGGGGATTGCTGCAGTGGCCTCCGTGGGGAGCTGCCCTGGGAGACACTGGGAAACTGGTCTTCAATGCAGCAGCCGGACTCTGGGCTGGGATCCCTCTCTTTATTCCTGGCCTCTCTTTCCCACCTTTTTTTGGGGGGGGGGGCTAGTCCACTTCCTCCTTCAGCTTTGGAAAACCATTTGCACATGTTTCCTCTGTTGTGCAATGAGGCTGAGCGATGTCACACAGAGTTATAGTCCCAGGGACTCCTTTGTTTAAAGAAGGGAGATCTTTTCTGAAAGGGGGGGAGGGCTAAATGAGTTTGGGATCCTCTGATCTGCAGGAAGGAGAGCGTTGCATACCTGGCCCCTCCCTGGCAGGACCCTCTCCTCCCTGACTTGGCCCCCTCCCCCACATGAGCAGATCAGGCCCCCCAGGCACCCTCCCCTGCTGCAGCCCTGGGGACCCCCCCCCCGTCTCCCCACAGCACCCTCTGGGGGGAGAGAGAGGAGACTCACCAGATCCCAGGAGGGGGCAGCGAGGCAGCCCTTGCAAGAGAGACACCTAAGCAGGAAAGGACTGGGGAGGGAGGGGGATTGGCTCTGGAGGACCTGGCCCCCTTGCTTCCTGGCCTCTCTAGGAAGGCAGCTCGGTTTCCTTTAAGCCTTCCAAGACCAGTCTGCTCAGCTCAGCCCCCCCTTACATTGCACACTCACTTAGCCAGGGCAGAACTCTGATTTCTATTAATTTCTGTTATTTTTAATGGCTTTAAGGGGTCAGCTGCCCCCTAGCTATGCCTATGGTAAGGGATGCTTTTTTGGGGGGGTGGGGGTGGATTTTGACTCTTGGCTGGGCTCTGTGTTCAATAGTGGGTAGACGCTGCAGCGATTTCTCCAAAGCAGCTCTTTATTTGTAAGCTGGAACAGAACTGAACATCAAACTGCTCAGCCGGCCGGTTTTTATAGGCTTTCAACATTCAAGCAACAACAACCCAGGGTTTCCCGCCTAAAGTAACTGATGTGGACCTGAGTGAAAACTATATACAGTGGTACTTCAATACATAACACTCTGAGCATCTCCCTCAGTTCACCTGAAACCAGAGGAAGAGCCTGCAGGGAAAAGGGCTTTGCAGGAGGCAAGGAAGCTCCTCCTAGAATTCCGGAGTGGAGAGATAGGAGGGGATCCCTGGGTCATCTAGTCCAACCCCCAGGAATCTCAGCTAAAGCATCCATGGCAGATGGCCGTCCGATCTCTGCTCAGAAACCTCCAAGGAAGGAGAGTCCACCACCTCCCAAGGGAGACCTTTCCCTGCCCAACTGCTCTTAGATGTCCCTCAAGGCAGCGGGTCCTGAGTTCTAGCCCTGCTGAAACAATCGCCCTGGCTGCCGAGGAGGAACCAAGCAAAGTTCAAAATAAATAAATCCTATTCTCATCATGAATAACTAAAACTTTCTTAAGCATGTTTCTATGCAAACATTCAATAGTATGCCATTTCCCCTTCCAGAAATGCTGAATTTCTAACTCAATGGACTAAAAATGGATGGTTGTTATGCTTAGAGAAGCTTTTAATATTTTATGGACTATTGTATTTTAATATTTTGTTGGAAGCCGCCCAGAGTGGCTTGGGAAAAACCAGCCAGATGCGCGGGGTATGTATAAATAACAATAATAATAATAATAATAATAATAATAATAATAATAATAATACTGCTGGGCAGATAGGCCTCCTTCTTCAAATGGTTTTGGGGTTTTATCTGTCATTTTCAATTGTTATTGATATTAATGTTGTATTCTGAATTTTTGATCTTCTGATTCATGTGGAAATTCTTTTCCATTTGGTTGTGTACCTTTGGATGTGTTTTACTTATCGTTTATGACTTTGGTTATGTTGGTAATTATGTAAATCTTGTCATAACAATAACAACAATAATTTATTATTTATGCCCCACCCATCTGGCTGGGTTTCTCCAGCCACTCTGGGCAGCCTACAACAAATGATTAAAACTACATTAAAACATCAATCATTAAAAACTTCCCTAAACAGGGCTGCCTTCAGGAGTCTTCTAAACGTCAGAGAGTTGTTTATTTCTTTGACATCCGATGGGAGGGCGTTCCACAGAGCAGGCGCCACGACTGAGAAGGCCCTTTGCCTATCATGTTGTAAGCTGCCTTGAGCGTTGTTTTAACGATGGAAAGGTTACAAATAAAATAAAATGATGATGATGAAGATTGAACAAATGTCTACGATTTCCCACAGGCTACTTTGTGTGAGGGAAACTGCAATCCAGGGAGTCTCTGGCAGGAGATAATCAGATAAGGAAAGCTTTATTTACAAAAAAAAGAGAATGGTGAAACAAAGTGAAGACAGGAGATGTGTTCTTTCAGGTAGAAGTTAACTTATTACTTCAGCTAAATGTCTCAGGATTAAACACGGTTCTGCAGGCACAGCTTCTCTTCAACTCCCTCCTCTCAAAATCAGTTGTCACACTTCAGGTAGATGTTCAGGTTTCCAGAATAGGTGGTGAAAGGCTGAATTCTGTTTCTGCTGCTTCTCTCTCATCCCCTCACTTAGTTATGAGAGGTCTTTCCGTGAGGTACTTTTGACACAGCCCAGCTTCCTTCACAGCGAGGGGCCACTTTTCCTCGCTTCCCCTCTCTCTTAGCAATCCCACTCCTGAGGTATTTTCCTTTGTATGCTAGACCCAGGGGATCCTCTCAGCCCTTGCCACGGACTTGGGAATCTCCTTTTCCTAGAAGATCTCTCTCCTCCTGACTGGAAGGAGACCCCAGAAGAAGAGGAGAGTCTTCCCATAGCTTCTCCCTCCAGCTTCTCTCCCATCTGAATACTCCCTTCAGACCCTCAACATGGTCTCCCCATCTCAGCTGTGAGGCTCCTTCCTCTGGCTCCATAGATATTCTCCTCAGAGCGGATGATCCACTCAGATCAGAGCCACTTCTCCCTCCCTCCACCCTCTCCTCGTCCCCATCTTCTCTCAACCTTCCCTCTCTCCCATCTCAAATCCCCTCAGAAACGGCTCTCTTTATTTTCCCTCCAAAAGTGCTGGCGCCACCCCCCTCGGGGTAGCCAATCAGAAAGAGGCTCTGGCCCTCTGGTGGAATGGTGAGGCACTGCACCCCAGACTCTGCTCTGGCTCTGCTGTCCGTCACAGCAGCCAGCTGCCCCAGCAGGCCTTGCAATCTCCCCACCGCTTGAGCCGTCCTCCATTGTCTCCCGAGACAGACGGATGAGGAGAGAGCCATTCAGGGGCCACAGGAAAGGGGCATCGGGGGCCGACAGAGGCAAACTGGAGCGGAGAAGCATCGCCGAAAGGATGCCTACCTCTCTCTCTTCCTTCTCAATATCAGTTATTTCTAGCTAAGAAATTGGGGGAAAAGCAGCTACTCTGTGTAGGGTTTCTTGGGGATGAGATCCGTAAGCTGAGTATGGTACAATTTCTCAGCATTTAATGACACACTTTAATGGGTAAGTGAACTCATATTGGAAACATTGCAGACACAGTCGTGAGGGGTTTTTCTATAGTGTTATATTCATCCTCACCTGAATAAACACCTAGATAACGTGAAATTAATGGGTGTTACTGTCTCCAAAGAACATTAAACCTATGCAAGCAGATTATTGGAATAGGACAAATGATTCCCCCACCTCCTGGAATTCCCTAGGCAAAAAAAATTAAATGTTATGGAAATCATGGGGGAGGCACATCTTTATAGTTGTTGCAATGTTACAAATATTAGGCCTGAATGTATCCTTTTGACTTGACAGCTCAGGTAAGGTACCTAGCTTCATAAATTCGTAGAAAATCCATACTTTAACCGCCTCTCCTCATTCCATGTTAGGAGTCATTTTGCAAAGAAACAGAAAAGATGATTGTAACTTTAAGAACCTTTTCTGTGAGTTCTGGGCTGATTAGGTACAGCTGGTCATGACTACAAAAGGAGGGAAAGTTGCAGTATGAATTTGCCTGCAGAGAGAGAACACCTACATGCTTTGTTTGTGTTGTTTTAGTAATAAAACCTTTGTTTGAGTGTTTTACACCAGTCTCGTGGTCTCATAGTTCTGTTGTCTGCCACCAGAAGAAAACCCCCTCTAACAGGTCATGGGTGCCAGTCCTGAGTGGGCAGAGACAGAACGTGGAAAATAACCCAGAGACTGGAAGCAACTCAGCAATGATAATAGTGTTTTACCCTTTTAATGATAATAAATAATTAAAATTTTTATTTATTTATACAACAACTGCAGCAAGGATTGGAAAAATAAGTAGTGTAGCTGATCTGGAAAAAAAAACATTTTCCCGGGTTTATGCTTAATGTGGAATGCTGAATGGGAGGAGTTCTGGAATCCCTGACGTCACAAGGGAGGAGGCTCTCAGCCAGTGGGAGGATGAAACACCCTTAAGAAGAAATTAGAGAAAAGATTGTTATATGGCAACACCAAGGTATCCAAACAGAAAAAGGTCTGGAGGGTGGAACACTTTCCTTAAGAGCTGTGATATTTGCAGGGTCTCATTCCAGGGCCAAAAGGTCACTAAGAGGGGAAATGATCAGGAGCTTTTATAAAGTACTGTACAGATGGTTTTTCTCTTTTAAATACAGTACTAGAATTGTGGGTCAGCCAATGAAACTGACTGGTGGTACATTCTAGGGCTGTGTACAGGTGCTGTCTTGCCAGCGCCCCCTAATGGCTTTTTGGCCAATAGCAACCACCAGACAATCTAGAGGTCTTTTAGATTCCACTGGACGGAGGACTGACAGACTCTTAGGTAGAGACAAGCGTTTATTAATTGGTAAACATTAGCAAAGAAATTGATCAGCACCGTAGAATAAGAGTCTAATACAAAGCCAACAGCAACTGGAATAAACTACAGAGCTAGCAATATAAGCAATAAGCCAAAAAATCTTAGGCAACAATAATCATAATACAGATAGAATAGGTAGAGTTCTTCATGTCTCCCCAGCCGATGGAGATTTGGAAGGTTTATCTGGGACACTTCAGACTGGCAGACGGTTGCTCTCTTCACATTCTGGAATGGAGCATAGAACAATATATCAAGATCTCCCTGTCTCCTTAAGCTGCTGGCCCTTATATAGTCCATAGTGAAGGTCTCACGCCAAGCTGGCAACAGATGTGATTCATGCTGTAATTAGGTTCCCATCCTTTGATGTAATTAGGTTCCCATCCTGCACAGCCCCAATCACCCCACACTGCCGGAGGGAAAGGCGCAGGCCGTGGGAGGCCCAGCAGGCTGGACCGCAGCCCCCATCCCACCCCCAAAGCCGTGGAAGAGGTGCTGACCGCGGGAGGCCCAGCAGGCTGCTCCGGGGGCCTGAGTCAGGCCACACCACCCACGTGGCCGCAACCTGGCCCATAGCTGTCAACTTTTCCCTTTTCTTGCGAGGAATCCTATTCGGAATAAGGGAATTTCCCTTAAAAAAAGGGAAAGGTTGACAGCTATGACCTGGCCCTGATGCTGGGAAGGAGGTGCGGGCTGCAGCAAGGCCTAAGCAGGCCCCACCACGGCCCCAATCCCCTGCCCGTCCCCGGGGGGAAGCCATGAAGGTGAGCCACTCACCTCACCAAGAGCGAAGTCCAGCAATGCATCCAGGAGGAAGAAAACAAAGTGAGCCTGGCCTGAAGAGCACCGGCCCTTTTCCTGGCCCTCACCCCACCCCCAACTGGGGGCCCATTGTCCTGCTGAGATGGGGGCGGGGTGACAGTCACTCTGCAGCAAGGTGGGTGGCACCTGGCAGGTAAGCCCCCCGCTGTGTCACAAACCCCACCCACCTCCTGGAGGGGGTGTGAGCAGAGATTACGTTCCCATCCTTTCACTTCTTCTCAAACAGCCACGTTCCTTATATTAAAGCTACAGCTACACTGCAAATCAGAAGCACCACATTCTGTTTTATTCCCTGGTGCCCTGCTCTGATTCATGGGCCCAGTTTGTCAGTCCAGATCCAGATCCAGATCCAGAAAATGCAAGTCTTTGCAATTCCATTTGCTAGCTCAGATGGCTTCAAAACGGAATTCGACAACAGGCCTCTTCGTTCTTCCGTTAAGCCACAGCATCAGGTGTCAGGCTGGGTCTTGGCAGACTTGGAGAGCCTGTGTAACAGCTTCCTCTCTGCTTCTTTTCCAGTTCCAACTCATGGTCTCCATTCAAATTGGATTTCTATGCATCTCACGGAGACTGGATCTTGTACCCCATCTTTTCTGATGATCAGGAGGTAGTTCTATAATTAAATGTATATACCTTCCATCAAAGGGAAGCAAAGGGTGGCGCAGTGGGTTAAACCACAGAGCCTAGGACTTGCTGATCTGAAGGTCAGCGGTTCGAATCCCCACGACGGGGTGAGCTCCCGTTGCTCGGTCCCTGCTCCTGCCAACCTAGCAGTTTGAAAGCACCTCAAAGTGCAAGTAGATAAATAGGTACCACTCCGGTAGGAAGGTAAACAGTGTTTCCGTGCGCTGCTCTGGTTTGCCAGAAGCAGCTTAGTCATGCTGCCCCCATGACCCGGAAGCTGTACACCGGCTCCCTTGGCCAATAAACGAGATGAGCGTCGCAACCCCAGAGTCGGCCACGACTGGACCTAATGGTCAGGGGTCCCTTTACCTTTACCTTCCATCAAGGGTGGTGACCCTCCAGATGTTATTGGTCTACAACTCCCATCGTCCTCAACCATTGACCATGATGTCTGTGATGCAGGGAGTTGGCACCCAGGAACATAGGAAGACCTCATAGATCCCACAAGATCTAGTAAATGGTGAACATCTCAATGGAGTACTGCAAACGAGATGTCCAGGAGTTTAGAGAGGAATAGGATGCAAAATGAGAAAGTGCTATACTACCTAAAACAATTTTCAAAAATGCATTGGAATCCATATAGAACATTTCTTTTGGTTCAAAACTGAGATTGATCTAGCAAAAGAAAAAGAAAGATATTTCAGTTATATTGGACTCAACAACCTCTTTACGGGAAAGGATGGTCTAATACTGATAGACCTAATGTGCTCCTAGTGTTATTCTCCATTTGTTCTTGTCTTGTTCTTACTCAGACAAAACCAAGAGGATGGGGAAGCTAGCGCTTGCAAAGAGTGGAGCGTCCAGAAGGAACGCAGCGTCCAGAAAGCGTAAAGCAAAAGCAAGTGAAACTGGTGGTCTGTATACAGCACAGTCATATGGGCTGAGGTTTCTCATAAAGTAGAGGAATGCGCGGGAAAGGGAAGTTGATGGAGAGACGGGCAGGGAGAGGATTGTGCCAGGGAGGAGTGCTGAGAAAAGCCCACGCAGCTCTTTGGGTGCCAGAGAGCCACTAAGCCCCATAGAAACCCCAGGGGTGGGCCTAATCTTTGCTGCTGGCTGCTGTGTTCCTTTAGTGTGTGCAGTCAGGAATGGCTGTACAATTAGGCAGAATGAGGCAGTTGCCTCAGGTAGCAGGTCTGGGGTGGGTAGAGATGTGCAGACCACACAAACTGCACTGCGCCTCCTCAGTTAGTCTGCTGCCCCGTTAGCCACATTGAGATAAGAGCCAATGGCCAGCCCAGCCCAGCTTGTGTATGTGGAATTATGTGTTTGGAGGGAGCATCTTGTCATTTGTCTGGGGGGCAGGAAGTAGTATCAAAGGCTCCTGTCTTCTGATCCGGACATTGGTCAGAAAAGTTTCCACAAGCAGCATGGCATCTCGACTTGCTTCCTCCACCTGCTTTTATCCTCCCAAGTGCCCACCCCCTGAACAGTTGAGTGTCCCTGGCTGATGGCTTCCACAGCACATGGAAGCCCTTTTTCCTGGAGTGGCAATGGTATGTTGGCTACTGATGGCTAAAGCAGGATTTTCTTTCTTCAAGCATCTGCTTTTCAGGACTTGGTTACTTTCTTCAAATCTCCAATTGGTGAAAGATTGATCGTACTTGAGATTTTCATCTTTACTGTCATGACACTGATGGTTTTCATTCTGTGTAAGTACACAACTGGCATATGGTGATACTTCTGTCGTGGGCTTTGCTTCAATGCCAATAGCATTTCCAAAAAGAGATGGCAGGATGCAGCTTCCATTGACCCCTTTCATCTCTCTTTTATACCAGGGAGGGAGTTCCAGCTGTCACCCAGTGAGAGCAAAGGCACTGTTTTGTTCTCCCTGAATAAGTGAGTTCCAGCACTTGGAACAGAAGCACAGGCTAACACAAGTCCCCGGGACACCCTGGACAATTCCCTTTCCCAGCTTGCAATTCTCTCCTCCTTTCCCAACTAATCCTCATTTGCTGTGGGAGAGCCCCCATTTCTGGTCCTCAGCACCCTGTCCTCTGCTAGGGCTCCAGTCCCTTCAAGGAAAGTGTTTGGGGAAAACAGGCTGCAAAGGATAAGGCCATGGCTAATGTGGCTGGATCCAGAGCCTACCTAAATATCGAGATATATGCAGGGCTTTTTTCAGCCGGAATTCATCAGGACTCAGTTCCGGCCCCTCTCAGGTAGGTGATGTTTCCATTCTAAGAGAACAAGGGAGGCATTAATGGCGAGTTTGAGTGCCTCTTTTTCTAGAAAAATAGCACTGGATAGATGAACACATGGCCTATTTGCCTAGTGAATTCATTTTTAAAGTAAGCAAAGCTTGGGGTGAGGGAGTCAAATGATCCAAGAATTTGCATATTTTAAGCATACGGCAGAGCACGAGGCAGCCTGGCAAAGGCAAGTCTGTAGGACAAAGAGGACAGGTGTATCTAGACAACCAAAAATCTAAAGCTCTCTAAGGAAGGCCAGCTATCTGGTGAAGAAGTAGCAGGCTAAATGGAAACAGGACTTCAGACGACCAGGGCAGCTTAAATCAAGGCATGGGAACCCTCAGTCTAAGGGCTGAGAGCAGAAAATATTAATAGAAGTCATTTTCATGTTTTTGTTGATTTGATTTTTTATTTGCCCTTCTCCCTAAGGACCCGGGGCACGTTATAAGTCGGCAATTTAAATTCTATATTAATAGCAGTTTGAAACCAAGTATCCCCTTCCCCAGCTTATCAGATTAGTGTGCCAGAACACAATTTCTTCATTTCTTTTCTACCTCCCTCCTTCTTAGATCGGAAGGAACTGAAAAAGAGAGAGGAGCTTCAAGTGGCAATGGATATGATACGAACCGTTGTTGTTGAGACTGATCCAATCTACGAAGACAAGGATGGTAAGCATTTTATATGCACATCCACACTTTTGCTGTAAAACATTTAAATTAAACAGACTTCAATTCCTGTAGTTAAATTTGGCGTTCATATTGCTTGAGCAATACATATGTTCAATGAAACTCATCACGCAACAGAGTTCATCACTTTTTCATTGCTCAGCAGGAAGAAAGGCAGACGGTTGTGATTCTCACATCTCCCCACTAGAAATGCTGTCCTCGCCCATCACACTGTAACTCACAATGTTTGTGCTAGTGCAAGATTTTAGCACTAGCACAAGGGAACGTTCCCCCCACTTCTCCCTGCATGCCATCACCAAAGCTGCTCTCCAGGAAGGGGGGGGACTTTGGAACAGATTGGAGGGAAGGAGGCTGAAGATCGCATTGCACAAGGGAAAATCCTTGCACTGACATTATATCCCACATCATAAAAAGAGTTTCAGTGCCTCTGTTTTCTTAGATCTCACAAAGCATAATTGAAAACTGCAAAGTATTCTTTGTATATTTGGCTTTCCTGTGGAATTCAAGGCAGAATTGGTTTGTGACCCTGTGATTCCCAGCAGAAAAGGAGGACATAGGAAGGGAACATCAGAGATACTTCATGAGCCACTTTTAATATGAGAACAGGATAGTAGACTGCAGGGGTCTTTGGTCTGATCCAGCTGCAGGGGTCTTCAGAGGCTTTTCGTTGGTGATCTCAGCCACAGAGAATCAACTCTGCCCTTATATTCGTAAGAAATCCACACTGGAGCTCTGCTTCTTGTTTCAGGCTTGAGTGTTTTTAAGTGTTTGGAAATGGTTTCCTGATATTTGCAGCTTGTTATTTCAGATACTCCTGCCTTAAACTGTTTCAAATCTTTTAGACTTAGAAATACTTGCTGCAGCTCAAAACATATCGGAGGAAATGCAGTATTTTGCCAACTTAAATGATCAACTGCAAAAAGAAATTGGTAAGCTACCCTACGATGCTGGAAAATTGTAGTGCAGCGGGAACCTGCCCTGATTCTGCACCAGTTGAAAGTCCCTCCTCTAGCTGAAAACTCTTAGAGCCAGAGCAGACTGCTGCCCTCCTTCGCATCCAGCCACCCTAGCGAAACATCAGAGATATTCAGATCAGCTCTCCTGAACTGTCAAAATGCTTTGCAAGCAAGTCACAGAAAGCTGCTCTTAGTTCTATCATCTCCTTCGGGCCAGACTGTAGCAGGCCCCACGCTACCCGGGAAAGCTCTGCTGGATGGCACAATGGAGGAAGCAGAGCACGTCTTCTTTGTAGCCTTCACTGCCACTTGGTGGGCTCGATGATGAGCCCTCACCAGTAGTCGATTGCATTCAACCAGATTTTTCCTCCACTCACGTAAAAGCCATCTTCCAGCATCTTTCTTTGCCCTAACCTCTGCAGTATAAGGTAAAGGGACAGCTGACCGTTAGGTCCAGTCGTGACCGACTCTGGGGTTGCGGCGCTCATCTCACTTTATTGGCCAAGGGAGCCAGAGTATAGCTTCTGGGTCATGTGGCCAGCATGACTAAGCCGCTTCTGGCAAACCAGAGCAGCGCACAGAACGCCGTTTACCTTCCCGCTGGAGTGGTACCTATTTATCCACTTGCACTTTGATGTGCTTTTGAACTGCTAGGTTGGCAGGAGCAGGGACCAAGCAATGGGATCTCACCCTGTCGCGGGGATTCAAACCGCCGACCTTCTGATCGGCAAGTCATAGGCTCTGTAGTTTAACCCACAGCACCACCCATGTCCCCCTCTGCAGTATACTAGGGGGCCAATCAGGCTGCATGAAGCAGGAATGGGCACTCAGGGCCAATCATGTCAGTGGCCCAAGCCAAGGCAGAGGGCCCTCCCCTCTCGGTAGTTGCACCCGCCCTATGGCACTCCCTCCCACCAGATATCAAGGGGAAAAACAACTATCTGACTTGTTGGAAGTTGCCCAGAGTGGCTGGGGGAAACCCAGTCTGATGGGCAGCATATAAATAAAATATTATTATTATTATTATTATTATTATTATTATTATTATTATTAGGTTGTTCCAGAGCTTGGCCAAAGTTCGGCAGGAGCACCAAAATCCCCCAGAGCCATTTTGGAAGCCCACTGGATCCATCCTGTCAGCTCAGGCAGGGAGACTGCTGGGCAGCAAAGTGGATGGTAAACCAGCAGACTCCCTCATTTGTCCCAGTTGCCCAATGCCAGGAACACACACTCTAGATTCCCACCCCCACCCCCAGCAGAGAGCCTGGAGAGAGGAAGAGAAACAAATAGGTGAGGCCCCAGGGGTTCAGATAACGCCTGTGAGGGGACGTACATCTTTTGCCTGTTCCCTCAAATAAAAGCTTCTTGACTGCGTTCCTTTTCCAGCTCTCCCCACCCAGGTATTTACTGCAGCACCAGCATGGGTTGAAGCGTTAATGTTGTTCTTGTTTTAATCTTTCTGAGCTTCCTAGATGAATATATGTTATCACGTGGCCACAGGAATGAACTTAACAAAAATAACTGAAATAACTGCACAGACAAACAAGGTGGTCCCCATTAAATTCCCTATTTCCCCCCTCTACTTCCTCCATACATGGCTTGACTCAAAGATACCCTTCTTGAAAACTTGAACAATGGCTGGGTCATATATGAAAGGACCTTCTATTGGTTTTCTATTGAGATAGGCTCATGGACGGATGCCCAAAAAAATTGTGAGCAGGAGGGCGCCAGGCTCATTTCTGTGGAAACAAGGGAAGAACAGGTGAGCATCATCACTATCCATTCAAGAAGCTCCAATCCCCCTGTATGCAGCCAAGACAGCAACTCCATCAGTCAAGCCAAGGGGTGGGTGGGGCAGGGAGCAGCTGCTACCATCTGGGACTCACTGAGGTTTCTTGGAGCTGCTGAGCTCTAATAGTCAGGAAGGAGGTCCTGAAGGAGGTGAAGGAGGAGATACTTGAGGGGCATCTATCCCTTGGCTTGCCGGTAAATTCTTCCTCTACTCTGTGAGATGTACTGAGTGCTTAGAAAGAAGGCTTCACTCACCACCCTAACCCTCTGGCATGAGAGTATCATGGAGATTACTCTAGAGGAGCTTGCAGAGTATATCCCTCTCCCAGCACCTTAGCCCTGGTAGAGGAGCTACTGGGCTGCTACAGGGCACAGACATGGGTGAGACTCCATCATCATGCCATCAAGTATCCCACAAGCAGACTGATTCCAGTGTCTTTGGAGCCAACCAACAAACATGGCGGCAGAAATTGGAGTATTTGCCACACAGGTCACTGTCCTGCTAGGTGGTTCCAAGACCAACTGTTCTCTGGCACAGTCATTTACAGCATCTGGAAATTTTAACTCTGTGTCATGACTGGAAGACATGTGTAGCCAGTCTCGGTGAGGGCAGGTGAAGTTACCCTTCCCTACAATATTTCCTCTTTGGGATGCTTCCTTGCTTCCATCATCATCATCATAATTGTGATCAGGGGGACAATACCACATCCACTGTACGAAATTATTCTCGGTGATGGGAATACTATGTATAGTTTTGATCACTGCTTCCTCAATATATGTGGATTGGACCTTCAAATGTGACACCTGCTGCTTTTAAAATGTGCTTGTTTTATGCATGTTGAATTTCTGTCAAGGGCTATAGTCTCCTAGAGAAAAGGACATTGTCTTAATATATTTTATTTGTTCTTTCTGCACCCCTTCCCTAGTATTTTATAAACAAGCAAGTAGAAAGACATCAAAAGTTTTTTTGGATTGGAGTCTTTAAAGACAAGGGGAAGAAATGGTCGTGGCTGTCAGGAATGGAGGCTGCAGTCCAGTAAGTTTCTGAAGAAACATTTGTTAATGGCGTGCATTCCAAAAAGTTACATAACTGATCTGTTCACCCTCCAAATATATTTTGCCATGCACTTTTCTCCACTACCAAAGATCTGCATATGTACTCCTCCACAGCATTGTCCAGGTGAGCGACTGCTTCTTCTCTCAAGGTTGGAGCAAGGCTGCTCTTCCTGCCTCTCTAACCTATGAATGCGGTGATTCAGAAGAGGGTGAGGGCATCCTTTTCAATGGTTTGTGCTGCTTAGCTCAGCTGCAAAAGGACTTGCAGGAACCTAAACTGAGCAACACTCTCTTTAGGAAAATATTTCTACAGTTATCTGCTAAACAATCTGAATAACTAGCAATCTCAGAACTAAAATAATAGGAGCAGAGGAGGCAAGTGTGCGAGAGAGCGTAGTTCACGTCACTCTCTTGGATAGAATCATAGACACATAGAAATGTAGCGTTGGATGAGACCCCAAGGATCATCTAGTCCAACCCCCTGCAAAGCAGGAATCACTGACAGATCCCCAATAGTTTTGGGTTGTTTAAGACAGTTCATGGTTCCCTTTAAGTATCTAACAACCCTTTTCAACCCGTGTTGATGCATTGACAAGGTCAGAGTAAGATCTCACTCATCCACAGCTTGGTAGTAGAACAGCGAGCTGGTCTGGCATTTATTACCAAGACTGGATGAACAGAGGGTTGCTTTCTCCTGGAACAAAACCCAATGACATTCATCTCCATTGATGCACCCAATACTAATCACTTAACCTTTTTGGCAAAGGCATTGAGTAAAGTTCACAAAAGGCCATTGGAGTTGGATAATACCAGCTGGGAACTTAAACCCTGTATGCCAGTGGTTCCCAGTTAGCTAAGTAGTACAGACCCCTTCTTTTTCAAAAGCCAAGCCATGGGCCCCTCTACCTTTGAACATTTGGATATCTCTGTGGCAGTTTTTGTCATGCAAATGGTGTAATGGAGCCGCTGGGTGGATGGTCCTTGGACTTCCAATTGGTGAATCACTGCTGTATGTGAACTTAGACTTGATCAAAGGGCAGATCCAACCCCAACATCTCATGGGAGTAAAAGAACACCCACTACACCATTATTACTAATATCAATTGAATAGATTCATGGAGAGTTAAAAATGGGGGAGTTATAGTATACATTTACACAGAATTTTAGTGTTCTGTAGTGGGACTTGATTCAATATACAATGGACACTGGAGAATGCAAGGCCTTACCAGAAGTGACAATAAGCATGGGGCTATCAACTATGGATAATTGATTAGAGTATATATATATATAGAGAGAGAGAGAGAAATCATATCATTCCAACCATCTCTATAATGGCTTTGTGGTTATAGATTATATTTTGTATTTCAGTTGTAGACTTAGCTATTTTTGTTTCTGTATAGTGTCATTGCCATCCTTGTGCATAAGGTGAGTGATAGATGTGAGAAGAGGTGGATTATGGCAGATGCAAATCTAACAAAGTTTTTATTTGCTCAGAACAATCACTACTGTGCTAACTCTGCTACGAGAGAGTAAGGATCTCTCAACACCCAATATGGTCCACAGCAGATCTGAGGAGGATGTGGGTGCAGATGGAGAGGAGAGAGGGCCAGTTCTGTTGCAGAAATGGAAATCCTGGCTATAGCAGAAGTACTGCATGGGATACTACACAAAATTGTTAAATAAAGTGACTGCAAGTTCTTGTGTGTACCACTGAGCCTTCCACAGTGACACCCTCTTTTTTTTCTTCTTCTTCCTATGAGGAATCACTTCATATCAGAAGAAAATAGTCTTGACCCACAGTTGTGGTTTTTTTGTTCTTTTATATGGTTAGAATTCTAAAATCTGGGGAGAAAAATCCATCACAATTGTGGGTGGATGTGAAGAGAGAAAGAGCTGAACATCTTTTTAATGGTAGAAGACATGGGGAGTGAGCGAGGAAGTAGACATCCAATCTTGATTGATCAGTCCTGCTTTTCTTTTCAGCTACTGGAATTACTATGAGCCAAATTATGAAGCGAACCATGACTGTGTTGCTGTGTCCTATGACTGCTACTATGGAAAATGCTGGATGGCATTTGAATGTGATCTACAAATACACTATATTTGTAAGAAGGTGCCTAATGATACTTGGCTCTAAGAAGACACCTTAAGATGAACATAACTGGATCCCATGATCACTACACAAAACCAAAACCAAGAGATCACCCCACGGTTTTGATGCACAGTCCACACCCTGCCACCTAGATTATGGGACTCTCTGGCACCACCCCTCAAACACACAGTGAAAAGACCTTAATCTGCAAGCTCAAACATAGATGGCTACGAAAATAAAGAATGGAAGGGTCCAGTCATAGCCTGTTTTCTGTTTAATGTCTTTATTTGCAATGTATACCAGTATTTGTTTCCTTACTCTGTGTGTTGATGCCCCATTGCCCCTTCTGATCTCCATGGTCGCTACCTTACAAGGCACATAAGGACAACCATGCATGCCAAGCAATGAGAATGGGGGACAGCGCCTGTGTCATGGTCTGGTTCACGGGCGACCAAAGTCCCAGCAGGGGACATCAGGACCGGGGGCAAGATGGTGGGGTGGGAGCAGGAACGGGGGTCCAGAAGCCAGGAGTCATGAAGCCAGGGGTCTGAGGATCAAGAAGCAAGGAGTCAAGAAGTCAAGGGTCCGAGGATCAAGAAACAGAGTCTAGAAGCCAAGGATCAGGAAGCAAGAAGCCAAACACAGCAAGGCAGGAAGCGTGTTGCTGTGGCAAAGAGCTGAAGGCAAATGCTGACCTTATAGCCCTTCCCAGCTCTTGCCACCAGGTGCTGTGAGTTACCAATTGGCCTCACCTGTGAGGCCGTGCTTTGCCTCTTCAGAACAAACTTAGGAAGGCCCCAGTCCTGCAAAGTCCTATTGGTCACAGGGCCTGGCTCCTACATGCACACCTGACAACCTGGTGTCCCCTTCTAGCAGGCTAATCACAAACACAACTTTGGCTTCATCACTGGGACATTACGGCGCCCTTACTCTCTAATAGTAATAATAATAATAATAATAATAAATTTTTATTTATATCCCGCCCTCCCCAGCCAAAGCTGGGCTCAGAGTGGCTAACAACAGTAAAATAATACAGCATTCTAAAATCAATTCATTACATAATCAGTTCAAATCAAATTGATGGCAACCATTGGGCTAGAGTTCTGTGAAGAATTACCAACGGAGGGGGTCAGGCTGTGCCTTGGCCAAAGGCCTGGTGGAACAGCTCCATCTTGCAGGCCCTGCGGAAAGATGTCAAGTCCCGCAGGGCCCTGGTCTCTTGTGACAGAATGTTCCACCAGATCGGGGCCATGGCCGAAAAAGCTCTGGCTCTAGTTGAGGCCAGCCTAACCTCTCTGTGGCCTGGGACCTTCAATATGTTTTTATTTGAAGACTGTAAGTTCCTCTGTGGGACATACCAGGAGAGGCGGTCCCGTAGGTACGAGGGTCCTAGGCTGTATAGGGCTTTAAAGGTTAAAACCAGCACTTTAAACCTGATCCTGTACTGGGCAACAAACACATTGAACTGCTCTCGATTTCTTCAGAACTTGGCAAGGGGAAAGACTGGGGTCCACACCACTGTAGGCACAGCACTGGCAACATGTGGCGCTGCTTTCATGGCATTCATGGTGGCAGGGGCGCCAACTTGAATAAAATATTACCTGCTCCACCCTGCATAATTGATCACAAGACAGTGCACACACACCATTTGAATGGCAATGCCCATCAAATATTTGGTGGCCCCCTCAAGTATTATATTGGGTGTGGGCCAAGGGACCTCTGCCCCTAGGAGTTGGCTCCTTTGTACAGTGGCAGTCAACAGAGTTAAATAACATATTAGATTCTGCTGTTCTGAATCACACCTTTACAAGGTGTGAATAGCTTGGTCTGTGTTGACGACTAGCACCCCAGGAGTCTAGCCAGGGACCTCTCCTGTCATGTCTTGCAAGATTGATGGCTGGAAGTGGCTGTGGTCGCTTCAATCTGCCCTGCATACCAAGCCAAGGAGAACTGATATTTTAATTCTTTATTTTCAAGGAATAAACTGAACAGGAAGACTGGGAAGTGTCCACTCAGTCTGCTCGGCTCCTCTCATAAGAGGAGGGAGGGTGGGGAGGTTTGCCCCTTGTCTCCAGCAGTTTCAAGAGGAGAAGAAGACAGAGCTGAATTGTAGCTGAAGGAAGAAATGCCTAGTTACAAGATAGTGGTGGAGGAGGGGGGAGTGAGGGAGCAGACGGCAGAGACCTCCCTGGAAAGTTTGGGAGATCCTCCTTCTCCAGAAGGGACTCATTCAGATGTCCTACATGTCAGGAAAAGAGATTCCTGTAGATCTGTTGTCAAAAGTTGTTCCCAGAGAACAGCTTGATGAATATGTATGGCGGTTGCAGTTGTGCTGAAGGATTGCAGCAGTGGGTACATGGAAAGGGGGAGGATGTTGGTATTCCATTCCCCCGCTGTGCAGACGTGGGGATTGTTTTAGTCACGTCTGTGTTTGACATTCCAGCACTGATTGTTGGAGTCTTGTGAACGGAAGATCCGTTCTGCATTGCTTTTTTGTTCTCTCCTCTCCGAGAGCAAGAAGGAGAGGAGCCATGTTTTCCTTTGTCCTGATTGTGTATATAAATAAAGTAGCTTAGTACTCACACCCCAGAGCCTGGCTTCTGCTGATGTTCTTTCTTTGCTAATGTGTGCTCAGTGACTCTGGACATGAGTCACAGAATCTCATCAGGGAAGAAGATTGATGGATCCCAGATGAGAAGAGTAGGCTGGCACGTAGAATGTCGTTTGCCGGGTCGCCCACCCTGCCTAGCGGCAACTACGCCAACATCCTGCTGGCCTACCTCTACCTCTTCCTGCCGCCCATGGTGAACCCCGTTGTCAGGGATCTGTTTGCAGGGGAGGGGGGAGAGACAGGCATGTACAGAGAGCCCCCCCTCTACTGAGCAGCTGCACTTCGTCAGAGTCAGGGAAGGAAGGGGCAGCTTTCAGGAGACACGGAAGATGAGAGAGAGCGGAGCCAAAAAACTGCGACCAAGGAAAGGAATGAGCAGTAGTTTTCCACGTAAGGGAAAAAAACGGAGAGGGGGGCTTCCGGGTCTTTTTTGCTGGAGGGGGAATAGGAGGGGGGCACTTCTGGATTCTGCTTTTGAAACTTCTGCACTGTACATAAGTTTGCACTCAATAAATCCTGAAAAAGACAGGCTGGAATCCTGGGCTCTTCTCTTCGCAAGGATCCACACTCCCTTTCTGACACCTGTAGTCTGTGGGGTGAAGACCCAGCAGATCCGCCAGAGGGTGCTTGGCCTTTTTGGCCAAGGGCGGAAGGGGCCTGCAAACCACTAGACACCTCCTTGCCCTCCTGGGTGCCAAGCCGGGCTCTGCCAGTCATGGTGCCTCTCCCACAATGCTGGCATTTGGGTGGAAACCACAAGAGGCGGCCATAAATGTTTGCTTTTGTTTTATTTATCTCATGTCTGTTTCCAGTTATTTTTATTAGTAAATAGGGTAAGCCAAAGCTTCTCTCCATATGAACCTTATGAGACTTGTGGCTGCTTCCTGATCCAGCCGAGACTCAGGCAGACTCAGTGGCTGGAAGAGCCTTTGAGCAACTGCAGATGGTTCCACATTCCAGGACCGGGAGAGCCTGGCCTCACGCCTTCGCTTCTTCAAGGCTGGATGACCACAGTGCCCTCCATGTGGGGCATCCATTGCGCTTGGTCTAGAAGCTTCAGCTGGTGCAGATTGCTGCAGCACGATTGCTGTCAAAGCGAGGCCTTCTCGGCATATGACCCTTTGGCTCAGAGGGCATCACTGGTCCACTAAACTTACTTTTATAAAACATCCTCCAAAATACCCATTTCCCCATGAGTCCGTTAGGCCAGTTTAGATGCATTCTTTTGTAATCTTAGCTTAATCGTAGTTACTGAAAACCAGACTTTCTCAATTTATTCAGATATACATAGAAGATTGGCTGCTTTCTCCTCAATATCTAGCTATCACAAACTCAGCAGCGGTAACAAAGTTGAACACTGCAAAGTGGACCGTGAAGCCTCTTGCCTGATGTCAAGTGGCAGGGAGTTCCAAAGTACACTTGCTGCCACACCAAAAGATCAATCTTTAAAGTTGGAGGTTCCTACAGGGCAGGGCTGACAGGTTGCACATTCAGTGGCCCAGTATTAGTGCTTTCTAAACAACAGCATATCATTTCCTCTTCCAGAAATGCTTAATTGTGAATTCAAGGGACACAGAAGTCTTTACAGACAGAGATGACAAGACAGCTTTCCAGATTAGTTAGCTGGGAGTGAGACAGTTGGCAGAGTGGCACTGGGCTCGCTAAGATGCCAGCTACTACAGGAATTGCTTTCTTGAGCCTTTTTAGCACTGCAATACCATTTCTTTAAAAAATCAAAAAGGTTGATTTTTAAGTCATGGCAGAGTGTGAGCAAATACTCCACATCTGTCAAGCTTTCAGGAGCAGGACTAAGGGGTGAAATGAAGCCCCCCAGATCCCCAAAGGTTGAGGGAAAGGCTCTATCTCCCTTCTTCCTTTTCATTATCAGTTATTTCCACCTAAGAAATGGGAAGAAAGCAGCTGCTCATGCTAAGCGCTGGGTTTGTTGGGTTGGAGATTAATGAGCTGACAATGGTATGATTCATCAGTAAGAAATAAGGTTTGTTCTTATGTGTAAGTGAAGCTGCATCTGAAACAGTACAGAAGCAGTCAAAGGGAATTTTATTCTTTTATTCAGTCTCACCTGCAATCATATGTGCTGAACACACAGAAACACATAGATAATGTGAAATTACTGGGAGTTACAGACTCCAAATAACACTCAACACATGCAAGCAGATTAATGCAATAGTACATATGATTTCCCCACTTCCTTAAAAAAAAATTGCTTTTATTTATTTTCATGGTAGAGAAGATAATTTTAAAGAAAGCAATGGTTACAACTATAAACAACAAATACCTTACACTGATGAAATTGCAGACTTTCTTCCTGCCATGTGTTACAAGTTTCATTTGATTACTCTAAAAGATCACGCCACCTTTTCCCATGAGTGCTGGGTGGATTCCGGCAACAGTCTTAACAATTTATATATTCAATAAACTTTGGTCACTTGTCATAAAAGGAATATAGATTGTGTTCCCTCACCTTCTTAATTTCCCTTGGCAAACAAAAATTTAAGATAATGAAATTGTGGTGCCCAGAATTGAACACAGTATTCTGGAAACAAAATAAAAAAATTCCTTCCAGTAGCACCTGAGAGACCAACTAATTTTGTTATTTGTATGAGCTTTCGTGTGCATGCACACTTCCTCAGATACGATTTTATTTTGATTCGACTACGGCAGACCAACATGGTTACTTACCTGTAACTAGAACAGTATTCTGGGTGCGGCCTGACCAAGGCAGAATAAAGTGGTACTATTCCTGCCCTTGATCTGATTCTGCCTTCTGCCACATTGGCCTCCGCTCCCCGTTTGGTGTCCTCCGCAAATGTGATGAGCATCCCCTCAGTTCCTTCATCCAAGACATTTATAAAGACGTTGAACAACAACGGGCCCAGGACAGAACCCTGCAACACCCCTCTTGTCACTTTTCCCCAGGATGAGGAGGAACCATGAAGGAGTCCTCTTTGGGTTCGGTCAGTCAAATCCACCTAACAGTTACCTTGTTCAGCCTCATTTTACCAGCTTCCTCACATAAATACCACGGGGGACTTTGTCAAAAACCTTACTGAAATCAAGATGCACTATTTCCACAGCAGTGCCCTGAGAAACAGTCTGTAACTCCATCCAAAAAAAGAAAAAAGAGAGATTTCTCTGGCTTGACTTGTTTTTGTGAAAGCCATGCTTTCAAACTGTCTGTTTATGTTGTGAATCACCATGAAATCTTCAGATGATGGGCACATAAATTTTTTAAATGATAATATTAAGAAGGATATTGAGAAGCTGGAACATGTGCAAATGAAGGCAATCAAGATGGTGTTATTATATTTATTTATTTATGCATTTATTTCATTTCTATAGCACCCTATAGCAGGGGTGCCAACTTGAGTAATATATAGGAGGGGTTTAGCAAGCCCCGCCTCGGTTAAACAGTCACAGGATGCGGTGCATGCATGCCATTTGAATGGCTATTCCTATGAACTGGGGGGTGGCCCCCTCACATATCTTATTGGGGGGCAGAGAGCCCTCAGACTCTAAGAGTTGGCTCCCATTCCCTACACCCACAGGTCACAGGACGGTCACAACATAAAATCACACAATGAAAACACAAAACACCGCCCCCAAAACCTGTAACCCCCACCTCCCCACCACATTGTAAAAGGGCATTAGATGTCAATCAGCCAAAGGCCTGTTTAAAGTGGTGTGTTTTTCTCTAGCGCTGAAAGCTGTATAATGAAGGGTTTTCCACTCTTCGTATGAATCCTTTGATGGAAACTGAGAGAGGAGCTTTTCCTGAAGCTCTTTCCACATTCAAAGCACTGATAGGGTTTCTCTCCTGTATGAATTCTGTGATGGGAACTGAGACTGGCGCTCTGATTGAAGCTTTTTCCACATTCCCCACACTGATAAGGTTTCTCCCCTGTATGAATTCTCTGATGGGAAGTGAGATTGGAGCTCTGACTGAAGCTTTTTCCACATTCCCCACACTGATAAGGTTTCTCCCCTGTATGAATTCTCTGATGGGAAGTGAGACTGCTGCTGCGACTAAAGCTCTTTCCACATTCCACACGCTGATAGGGCTTCTCCCCTGTATGAATTCTCTGGTGCTTAGTGAACTCAGAGCTCGTATTGAAGCTCTTTCCACATTCCACACACTGATAGGGTTTCTCCCCTGTATGAATTCTCTGATGGGAAGCGAGATGGCAGCTCTTCCTGAAGCTCTTTCCACATTCCACACACTGATAGGGTTTCTCCCCTGTATGAATTCTCTGATGGGAAGCGAGATGGCAGCTCTTCCTGAAGCTCTTTCCACATTCCACACACTGATAGGGCTTCTCCCCTGTATGAATTCTCTGATGGGAAGTGAGATTGGAGCTCTGACTGAAGCTTTTTCCACATTCCCCACACTGATAAGGTTTCTCCCCTGTATGAATTCTCTGATGGGAAGTGAGACTGCTGCTGCGACTAAAGCTCTTTCCACATTCCACACACTGATAGGGCTTCTCCCCTGTATGAATTCTCTGGTGCTTAGTGAACTCAGAGCTCGTATTGAAGCTCTTTCCACATTCCACACACTGATAGGGTTTCTCCCCTGTATGAATTCTCTGATGGGAAGTGAGATGGCAGCTCTTCCTGAAGCTCTTTCCACATTCCACACACTGATAGGGTTTCTCCCCTGTATGAATTCTCTGATGGGAAGCGAGATGGCAGCTCTTCCTGAAGCTCTTTCCACATTGCACACACTGATAGGGCTTCTCCCCTGTATGAATTCTTTGATGGGAAGTGAGTTTTGAGCTATTCCTGAAGCTCTTTCCACATTCCACACACTGATAGGGTTTCTTGCCTGTATGAATTCTTTGATGGGAAGTGAGAGAGGAGCTTGTACTGAAGCTCTTTCCACATTCCATGCACTGATAGGGTTTCTCCCCTGTATGAATTCTCTGATGGGAAGTGAGATTGGAGCTCGTACTGAAGCTTTTTCCACATTCCACACACTGATAGGGTTTCTCCCCTGTATGGATTCTTTGATGGGAAGTGAGTTTTGAGCTATTCCTGAAGCTCTTTCCACATTCCATGCACTGATAGGGTTTCTTGCCTGTATGAATTCTTTGATGGGAAGTGAGAGAGGAGCTCGTACTGAAGCTCTTTCCACATTCCATGCACTGATAGGGTTTCTCCCCTGTATGAATTCTCTGATGGGAAGTGAGATTGGAGCTCGTACTGAAGCTCTTTCCACATTCCACACACTGATAGGGTTTCTCCCCTGTATGAATTCTCTGATGGGAAGTGAGATGGTGGCTGTGAGTGAAGCTCTTTCCACATTCAAAGCACTGATAGGGTTTCTCCCCTGTATGAATTATTTGATGGGAAGTGAGATCGGAGCTCTTCCTGAAGCTCTTTCCACATTCCACACAGTGATAGGGTTTCTTCCTAATGAGATTTCCTTGATGGGAAGTGGAATTGGAACTTTTTCCACTTTCAAGATATTTATACAGCTTCTCCATTGTGGGGATTTTGTCATGGTCACCCTTGTCCTTGATTTCCAATCCATCACTATCTGCAATGAAGAGAAATGGATTAGCGCCTCAGGGAGAAATTAAGGAAGAATACTTGTTAACACTGGTAATAGAGGAATAACACTAGTGGGTTAGATGGATGGTTTTCTGAAGGGTTGGGTGCATTAATTAACGGGGATCAACCGACATCCTTAGGGGAACCTGTGATTCGATAAGCCTGGCTCTTCTCTCGAATGGATTTTCTTTGGCTCCATCATGGCATCCCTCCATTTCCAATGTCAGTCTTCTCTTTGGACAACCAAAGACTGACGGGAGAAAAAACAAAAACTGAAAACCTGACACAAGCTACGTCAACTTCCCTAACAACTCTGAAGTATACAGTCAAAAGGGTCTGGGGAGTTCAGACCAGCTGATCCTTGTTTAATGAGCTGCAACTGGAGGAAGAACATTCACAGAAAAAACAGCAATCTACTGTTCAATGTTTTTTTGGGTTGTGATATCCGGTGTTGTAGGGGGCGCTGTTGAGTTCTGTGAAAATATATGAGGTTCGTCACATATGGAGTTTTGAATTTAGAAACAGATATTATGATCCCACTGGGAGCCTTACGGAGAGAGGCCACGGTCCCACGATTCTCCTCCATGACCTCCTTATGCAGAGCTCTCTGGTCAGGATCCAGCAACTCCCACTCCTCATCCGTGAAACAAACAGCAACATCTTCAAAGCACACTGGACCCTAAAGGAAAAAGGGAAATGTCCTCCTCTGAGACAACACTGTTGTTCACCACCACTCCTTGAGCTACGACATTGTTCCGCCCCTTGACCTCTGTCCCCACAAGGCAGCTTCCCCTGACCTGATCTGGTTCCACAGCCACTGCTTCTCTTCCGTCCCCATTCAGAGATGGTTGAAGAGGTTTAGCCAGTATCACTGTGTCACCTGCAAGAGGGAAAATGGTAAGGGGGAGGCCCAGAGTGCCTTCTTGTCTAACAGGTGAATCAGTGCATCTAAACTATTATTATTATTATTATTATTATTATTATTATTATTATTATTAAACTAGAGGGGCCTTTGAGAAAGTCTCGCCTGCTGAGTGCATTTGAATGTTTGGGTGCACTTCAGATGTTAGTTGTGAAAAAACATATCTCCCCTCCCCACTATCTCCCCCAACAAAAGATGAAAAGTACCCACAGATGAGTTGGAAAACCAACAGAATGAGACTAAACGGAGAAAAACCTCCTCCCTCCTTACCCAGCTGCCTCTCTCTGGTGTCCAGCAGAGGCCTCTCTGCCTCAGAAGAAATCTGGCCCATTTCTGCAAAGAGATCCTTTCCCTGAAAAAGAAAAAAGTATTCAAAAGAGAGAATGGGGAGAAGGATTAAAAAATGAATGACAGGGCCAACAGCTTCAAGGGTGACAGATCTCATTCCATGGATGCCTTCTGATACGGAAGGGGGGGGAGCATGTCTTCTTCACCCTTCTGCCGGTCACCAGAGGGTCCGAGGCGATGACCTCAAGGGCACCCAGCCCCACATGGACCCCCTCAGCCCCCACACCAAGCACCACACTTTACCCCAAGCCCCATAAATAAAGTGCCTTTCCCCTTTCCTACACTGATCCGCTATTACGGGCGAAATAAGCCCAAACTCTTATGCCTTCCCTCCCGCTCTATTTTACTATGGGTAGACCGTATAGAGTTATATTTCCTATCCTTTGAATGGGTGCGTTCTACCCAATCAGAACCATGCATTCGTCTTGCAGAGCTACCTCAGCGAGCTCCTGCACGCCTCATTTAACCTCTTGACAAGCTGCTGACGGCTCCCCGCTGGGAGAACAATGGAATCAAAACTTGTGAACTCATAAAATTGTCAAATCTTGCTACAATGTATCCATTTTGTTTCCGATCTCAATTGTCAATCTAAAATGGGCTAAAATCTTTAAAAATTCATATAAAATCAACCACAACACCAATTTTCTTGCTTTTGGTGCCAATCGGCTCAATTTTTCTAGGACTCCATGACACCTCCCCTGTCCTCCATAATCCCTCAAGCGAGGTGTCACGTACTCTCAGGAAGACCCTAATCCCGTCAAATCACTCTGCCAAGCCTTTCCTCCGGGCAATGCCAGGTGGCAGACTAGGCATACATGGACCATTGTCTTCTCATCACCGGTACTCAGGATGTGCTTATCTGCGCATATCTCCAGCTCTGCATATTCCCCCCTCCCTCCTCCATATGTTAATCTGTGTAACCCAACCTCTTCCTAATGTATTCATGATGTAATCTGTGTAACCCAACCTCTCCTTAATGTATTCATGTTGTAACTGTGATGTATTCTGCACTGTATTCTGGGACATGGAGGGAAGTTTTAAAAGTTCATGTCACCCCTTTCTCGCGGTTCAATCTCGCCTTGAACCTGTTGCACAAGAAACTTGGATCTTCTGCAGCTTGCTCCTGTCTCCGGCTGAGCTCATTTTTTCCTCCGCAGGGACCCACGGACTTAGTCCGACGAGCTGGGTGGCAGAGCAGCCTCACACCCAGATTTTACCGTAACACTTCCCAGGAAAAAAATATGAGCCATCAGTAGAGCATGATGGGATGTTCTCTGTCCTGTTTGGAGCCCCTTGGGAGTATCCAGAGGAAAGTCTCTCTCACCTGCTTTCTCTCCTCTGCCTGACTCAGGAGGAAACCTTCGGCCAGGGCCACCGCCTGGGAACTGGTCTCCGCTCCACAGTCCCTCACCCAGCTCTCCATCTCCGGTGGAAGGACAGCCAGGAACTGCTCCAAGATCACCAGGTCCAGCATCTCAGCTTTCGTGTGCCTTTCTGGCTTCAGCCACTGACGGCAAAGGTGGTAGAGTCGGCTGCAAACCTCTCGGGGTCCTTTGGTCTCCTGGCAGCAGAACTGCCTCACCTGCTGGCTCTGCACCTCTGAGCAGAGGGTGTCCTCCTCACCCAGGATCGTCTGCACAGAGTTTTCCCAGAATCCCTCACTGCTCCCAGTTTGGATGGCATGGCCTCTTTCTGTTCCAGGGCCAGCTGAGTCTCGCTCATCCATCTGTGCTCTCAGGAAGCCTCTGAGAGATCGGAAGGAACCCTTTGGTCTTCTGCCAAGTTCCGTCTGTCTTAAGGAGAGGCGCTAGCAAATCCTACAAAGCAAATACATTGTTCCGTTACAAAAGTTGTCTAATATCAGGAGAATAAAAAGGTTCCCTGAGCAAGCATGGATGAGTCTTGGAGGGAACCAGGGCTGGACTGCACCACAGCCCAAACCATGAGCTATTTTATTTATTTAAATTTCTATAGCACTTTATATTTTAAAGAAAAATCTCAAAGCGGTTTACAGCATATTAAATCTGTGGGGATAATTGGGGAGTTAGAAGAGGATATATTATTGAAGGATATCCTTCCTAACATGCACTAGCAAGTTCCATATTCTGGCTGAGTTCCATACATCCCCCTTTTTTAGATTACGCAGCGATCAGCTTGTTGCTGACTCATCTGAGTCTTACTATTAAAAATTCCTTCCTGGTAAAATCCCTTCCAATTCCTTTTAAATGAATAAGCACAATAATCTGATTCACGTTAATATAAAAGTAGTTTACTCACAGATTCATTCAGGTTGATACATAACAACTAGAACTATTCCATAAAGATGTTAGTCCCAAGTGACTGCCACTAAGAAGTCACTTCTCCAAACACATAGTGTAGCCAATGGGAGTCAACAGACACTCAAGGAATAGTTTCGGAGAAAAGGCTTTATTTCTACCATCCATGAACTGGTAGAAGGAGGAAGTGTGATAAGTCACAAACAAGCACAAGTTCACAGTCATGTGCACAGGGTATATATTCCCCTTCCAGTTCCCTCCCTTTCTCCTCCTTCTTCAAGAGTCCTGCCCATGAGTTCCTCTGAGCATGAACAGAAAGCTCTTGGGACTCTTTTGGACTCTTGGCACCCTTCCCAGGAAAGGGGAATGAGAGCGGTTCAGCATGTCCAAGATGTTGCAACTAGAATGAGATAAGATTCAGTTCTCAGGCCTGCTTTGAACAGAGCCTATTCGTTAGCTTTTGAAGCCTTCTCGTGCTCATAAAAGTAACGGTTTGCCCTTGCACAGCATCTTGTGAGAAAATAGAGGAAAGCTTTAGCTGTGGATTTTTAGAAGACAAAAGGAATTTTGGACAGTTTGAGGCCTGGTTGGGGGGGGGTGACTTCGGGCCTAGGTGGGGCACCTGTCCTCACATTCCTTCAACAGCAACATACAAAATGGAGAAGACACACTGATCAGAAGATGGAGGCCGTGTGCTCCTCCATGCTAGTACAACAGACTGCACCCTCTTCAAGTCACATGCAGTGGAAGTCTGTCCCAGCTCAGGAGGAAACAGGAAGTCTTCTCCTGAGTGGTAGAAAACATCCCCTAATGTGTCCACTGTAGGAATATTGTACTTGACTGCACTTTCACATCCTACAAAATCAATAAAACAGAAATAAAACAAGGTAAAGTAAGTCAAATATATAGTCGATAGTCAAAGCAACATAACAGAAAACAATTATTATCTTAAAGATATCAAAATAAAACATTACAAAGGAGGTCAACTACAGAATACATATTTAACACAGTAGGGCTGGGTGAGTCTGGGCCTCACCCCTAGGCCAGGTGAAAAGGGCCTTTCTAAAAAGGAGAAGAAAGAGGAGGAGGAGGAGGAAGAGGAGGAGGAGGAGGAGGAGGAGGAGGAGGAGGAAGCAGCCTCTAGCTCTCCTAGAAGGAAGATTGCAATGCAAAATGTGGAGGCAACTGAAGGGATTAATGTGAGGTGAATCAGTCTGGTTTCTGCTGCCTTCCAGTCAATGCATGAAGTCAGAACTGACTGACAAGGGAGTCATTTGTATCTTGTGAAAAATGGATACTTGGCTCTAGTGGGGGTCCTCACCTGGGGGTCCTCAGGAGTTGTTCTCCCCCCACCCCCATTCCCCTGCTTCCGTCTCCTTTTCTTGCACTTGGACTCTCTGCTGCTCTCCAGACAGACTCCTGGGGTGGGGTCCCTTTTTCTTTGCTCCAAGGGCCAGGAATGTATCTCGCCAACCCCTGAGGGCCAAGTGGGCGGGGCCAAAGACATCTCTCTTGAAATTTAGGAGGGTAATTTAGTATTAGTATTCTGTTAGATAGCTTAACACACAGAGAGACATTGATGTCAAGGTCCCTGGAGGCTCAGTGAGTAGCAGCGCCCATTTCCGGCTGCTTTTCCAGCAACAATCCCTTTGGGGCAGAGAGGATGTGGTCCTGGGATGCCCTGCTCTGGGTGCGAGGGGATTGCTGCCGTGGCCTCCGTGGGGAGCTGCCCTGGGAGACACTGGGAAACTGGTCCCCAATGCAGCAGCCAGACTCTGGGCTGGGATCCCTCTCTTGATTCCTGGCCTTTCTCTCCCACCTTTTTTTTTGGGGGGGGGGGCTAGTCCACCTCCTCGTCCAGCTTTGGAAAACCATTTGCAGATGTTTCCTCTGTTGTGCAATGAGGCTGAGCGATGTCACACAGAGTTAAAGTCCCAGGGACTCCTTTGTTTAAAGAAGGGAGATCTTTTCTGAAAGGGGGGGGGCGGAGGGTCAAATGAGTTTGGGATCCTCTGATCTGCAGGAAGGAGAGCGTGGCAGACCTGGCCCCTCCCTGACTTGGCCCCCTCCCCCACATGAGCAGATCAGGGCCCCCAGGCCTCCTCCCCTGCTGCAGCCCTGGGACCCCCACCAGCATCCTCAGAGAGAGAGGAGACTCACCAGATCCCAGGAGGGGGCAGCGAGGCAGCCCTTGCAGGAGAGACACCAAAGCAGGAAAGGACTGGGGAGGGAGGGGCCTTGGCTCTGGAGGACCTGCCCCCCCTTGCTTCCTGGCCTCTCTAGGAAGGCAGCTCGGTTCCTTTAACCCTTGCAAAGCCGAGTCCCTCCAGCTCAGCCCTCTCTCGCTTGGCAGATCCTCAGATTTTTTTTTTTTAATGGATTTAGGGGGGCAGCTGCCCCCCCTGGCTACGCCAATGCCCAGATATCCTTTTGGGGGTGAGGCTCTTGGCTGGACTCTGAGCATCTCCCTCCCTTGGCCAGAAACCAGAGGAAGAGCTTGCAGGGAAAAGGGCTTTGCAGGAGGCAAGGAAGCTCCTCCTAGAATTCAGGAGTGGAGAGATAGGAGGGGATCCCAGGGTCATCTAGTCCAACCCCAGCAATGCCGGAATCTCAGCTAAAGCATCCATGGCAGATGGCCATCCGATCTCTGCTCAGAAACCTCCAAGGAAGGAGAGTCCACCACCTCCCAAGGGAGACCTTTCCCTGCCCAACTGCTCTTAGATGTCCCTCAAGGCAGCGGATCCTGAGTTCTAGCCCTGCTGAAAGAATCACACTGGCTGCTGAGGAGGAACCAAGCAAATTTCAAAATAAATAAATCCTATTCTCATCATAAATGAGTAATACCTTTTAATGCTAATATACAAAGGTATGCCATTTTCCTTTCCAGAAATGCTTAATTGCTAATTCATTGGACTGAAAATGGATGGTTGCTGTTATTATGTTTAGGGAAGCTTTTAATATTTGATGGACTATTGTATTTTAATACAGTGGTACCTCAGGTTAAGAACTTAATTCGTTCTGGAGGTCCGTTCTTAACCTGAAACTGTTCTTAACCTGAAGCACCACTTTAGCTAATGGGGCCTCCTGCTGCCGCTGCACCGCCGGAGCATGATTTCTGTTCTCATCCTGAAGCAAAGTTTTTAACTTGAGGTACTATTTCTGGGTTAGCGGAGTCTGTAACCTGAAGCGTCTGTAACCTGAGGTACCACTGTATTTTTTGGAAGCCACCCAGAGTGGCTGGGAAAACCCAGCCAGATGGGCGGGGTATAAATAATAAATTGTTGTTGTTGTTATTTAAATTGACCAGTTGAGTGTTCTCCTTTCAAAAGAGGCAGGTGGAATCTCCACGGTTGCTAATAGCATAGCATTGAAAGGTTAGTGAAATATGGGGAGCCCTAGAGCATCTGCTTGGCATGCAGAATGTCCCAGGGTCAGCCCCTGACATCTCCTGCAAGGGCTGGACAAAATCCCTGCCTGAAACTCTGGGGAGCTGCTGCCAGTCAGTGTAGGCCAGGGGTCCTCAAACTATGTCCCACGGGCCGAATCCAGCCCGGCAGGGTCGTGAATCTGGCCTTCACGGTCATTTCAGAACCCACCACGTGTCTGATGCTGAAAGCATCTCACCGCCCCCTCATTCAGTCCCTGCGTTGCACTGAGGTAAATGCCACTAGTGTTGTGGCGGCTCTACCAATGAAAGGCCAGGGGGTTTCGCTCGGGGACGGGGAAGTGTTGTCTTTTGGCTTGAAGAGAGGAGTTGAGGTTGGCGGTGGAAGGCAGAATTGGGTCGATTCGGTTTCGTTACATAGACGTTTACTTTAAAGGTGGGAGAAGGAAGTATAGTCCTATTTCTGTGAGTGGAGCAGCGGTCTTTCCACTCATGTGATTTACATGCTCTGAAAGTTGGGATCTGTTTTGATATTTAAATTTTAAAAGGGTGGGGTGGTACCGGATATTGACCATCTTGTTAGCCTGGGGAGCCACATTCTGGTTGAAGGAGGCCAGGATTGGTCCCCAAGGCTTGGGATGTCCCTCCTTCCCTGCCGTAGGACTTGGAACCCAGGAGAACACTCTTGGAATAGCCTTGCCAGGTGCTCAGGGACGGACTCACCTGTCCCCATGTCCTTCTCTTTGCAGATGTGCTGCGGTTGCACATCCCTCCCCCACAGGTGAGTATTGGAGAGAACCAGAGCAGGGACTCAGACCTGCCCTCCTTGCCCCCCACTCTGCCCTCTCGGATGTGGAGAAGCCCTCCCTTCGTGAAGAACTGACAGCCTGACTTTTGCCTTTCAGCTGCTGGAGGAAGATCAGCTGTACCTGCCAGAGGTGATTCAGAACTGCCAGGCAGCTCAGCTCAGGGGGTTCTGAACCCAGAACTGCTCCAAGCAGGAGACGGCCAAAGCCATCCTGGTGAGTGATGGGGAGGTGGGGAGGGAGGGGCTTTGGGGAAGGG